ACCACCTCCCTCCAGTATTCCAGAGCCCATCACTAAATCCCCCACATTGCCTCAGGACCCTACTCCATCTCCTCCCCTCTCCCACAGGTCTGAGTCTTGGGAGAGAGAGCCTTCCTCTATTTCCACGGACCCATAAGACAAATTCAGAAGGTGCCACCTCCACTGGACCCAGATGCAGACCTCACAGCCCCAGGGAACTGTGACAAGGCAGTGGAAAACCTTCCATCAGCGTAGATGCTGGGATGCTTGTATTCCCAAGGTGGCATCGTACCTCTCTTACCCCTAGTTCTTCCAGAAAAAGGGTCGGTCTGGAAAGACAGGTCCTGAGAAAGGAGGTTGGAGCACCCAATTTCTGGAAGGCCCCATTCCCCACCCCCCATGCAACCCAGAAAAAGGCCCTTCCTTCTGCTCCCCTGGAGAAAGACAGATGTCATTGCCAAATGCTTTCTAGCCCCAGAACCCTGTCTTCAAATGAAGCAATGTCATATACCCCCAAGATATAAAATGGCTAAAAGTGGGGCTGCCCTAGCTGTTGCAGACATGGGGGCCAGGGCCAGTCCTCCTCTGGCAGCTGTGGGGACACCCTCCTAGCCCCTCAAGGGACTCACAGGGTTTACTCCTGCCTTCACCTCCTGGGCTCTGAAGGTTTCAGTTTGCCCTTTTGGAATACGAACACTATTTTCTCCTCTCACTCTCTGCCCTGGTCCCCAGCCTGTGCCTCTTGAATTCAAGAAGGACATCCAGCTAGGGACAGAAGGACTGGGAGGGGAGCTCCATGAAGGATTGCAATTCAGGGCCCTCCACAGGCCTCCAGGACAGCCCCACAGCTGATTGCGCTGATCCCATCTAGCTCAACAGACACCTGCCGGACTCCTGTGAAAACTAGTCCAGCCCCTCTTCCTCAGGGCTCCCAGGTCCTGGAGCCCCCGAGCCTGTCCCTGGGACAGATGGCGCAGATTTCCTCCACAGAGCTGAGGTGGGGGTGGGGTTAGGTGGTCTGGAATGCGCTGTCACACCCTCCTCTTGCCCAGGTGGGAGCAGGGAGTGCTTCCAGCCCTCAGGCTCTGAGGAGGAAGCTCCTCTGAGCCTTCCTTGGGACAGCTGTCCCCAATAGGGTCCCCTCACAAGTCCATCTCACCCCAACTCAGCTCTAAAAATGGTTCTCTGGTTTTCAGCCTCGGCGCCTGCCCACAAATTAGTGTCTCCAACACGGCCTCTTGGGACATGACTTCAGGGAGGCCCCTGGGGGAGCTGGGAGGCCTCAGCAGAGGGAGATGGTGCTGGCAGGGGCGCTTTTGGAGAAGCCAGGAGTGATCAAGGCCCCTCTCTCAGCTTCTGGGATAACCCCCACCACCACCAACCAGGCCACCCAGCCTCTGTGTGACAGCTCTGCTCTCCTTGCCATGCAGAGGAACAGACAATCTCTGCACCCCACTGGAGGCCCTCCTCTCTCCTCTGTCACCAAATCAGGCAGCTTCACGCTCAGCCCCGGTCCTGGGCACTGCTGTGCTGCGGAGAAAGCAGCAAGAGGAGGGCAGGCCAGCCCCGGGGCCCTCCAGCTTCAGGGTCCAGACACCCACCTCTTCCCAAGTCCGAGCTCCCACAGTGAACCCACAGACTGGCCACTGAGAAACCAAGGGAAGCCCAGCCTCACCACTTGTCTGATCCGCAGTCTCAGATTCTCCCTCCCCCCAGCCCCCCACCCGGCCCGCCTGACCGCTGACCGGCTGCAGTCCCCTTGGAAGGGGACGAGCCCTCCCCGGATGCCCATGCCTCCTGGCAGCAGCCTGGCAGGTGCCCTAGCTGGAGGCCGGGGCTGGGCGCTAGCGGGCGGCCAGGCGGGAGCAGGGAGGGACGTGCGGGCCAGTACTCACAGGTAAGCCGTCAGGGGGTCCAGGTCCCCGGGCACGGCGGAGAGCCCAAGCTCCGAGCAGTCGGCCGACAGCATGATGCCGTCCTCCTGGCAGTGGCAGGGGGCCGGGCAGGCGGCGGACGCGGGGCCCGGCTGGGGGGCGCCGCCAGCGCACGGGGAGGCGCACAGCGCGGCGCACAGCCACAGCGTCCGCAGTCCGGGCGGGCTGGGCATCTTGGCGGCCGGAGCACCTGGCGGACCGACCGGCGGACGGGCGAGCGCTCCGGCGCGGTGGCGGCCGCTGCTCGCCTCTGGGTCCCGCGGCCGGGCCGGCGGGCTGCGCCGTCGGTGGGGACCGCCCCGCGGGCTCTGCTGGGTGTCGGCGGCGGCGGCGGCGGCGCGGGGACCGTGCAGTCAGAGAGGGGCAGGCATTGTTGAGTGATCTTCGTTATTCAGTTTCACAGGCTGGGCTTGGCAAGGGAGGGAGACACAGGCGGAGGAGGAGTCAAGGAAACTTTCTGCGCTGTGGCTCGCTCCCCTTCCCTCCTTCCTTCCGAGCTGGCAGGAATTTCATCCAGGAAAGAAAAAAAAAAAAAAAGGCAAAGAGACTCTAAGAGAGTGAGCAGAGATGGCATGTTAGGGACCTGCTCTTGCACTTGTTTGGAAACCATGGGATGTCCCAGGACCTAGGCTTGCGGGCTGGGGACCCTCTTGCCTGCGGGGTCAGCCACGGGTCCCAGGGACTTGGAGGAGCCTCTCTGGAAGCAACCTTAAGAGTTCCCGTGAGCCCCCAACCCCTCTACCACATTTTCCACGGAGACCCAAGAGGGAAGTGATTTGTTCAACGTCGCATGGCTTGGGGAGGAGGGGGATCCCCAGAACTGGAATTCAGGGCCTGTCCTTGTCGTCGTATCTCCTGGAAGAGGGAAGTGAGGAGTTGTCCTGAAAGGGGTCAGGTGGTGAAAGGTTCCACCTTATGCAAGGAGGGGGGCAGTGGGCAAAAAGGAAGGGCCTTCTCACTGAGCCCATCGAGCCCTGCCACCAAAGAAAGTGCGGATTTCCACCCAATGAATGTACTTTGCATGCATGCAACCCCACTCAGGTTCAAGGCCTTGGGATCAACTGGATCCTGTCCTGGGGACCAAACTAGGTAGACACTAAGCTGGGCTGGTTTATCAGAGGCTTCCTAAAGTCCGCGGATAGGCGCCACCTGGAGTCCAGCGCTGTAACTGCAGCCCAGCCGTCTTGAGGCTGAGCTGGGGGCGAAGGGGGGGGGTCTTCTGGTGGGTCCCAGGGCCTTGACAGGCAGGGCAGATGGTGGCTAAGGGGGGCATGAAGTCTCTGCTCTCTTCTTAGACCAGACTGAGCTGGCCGTGCTTCCTTCATGTAGCCTTTTGCTTTCCCTGTTCTCTTCCACGCTGAACCAGACCCCAGTACAGAGCTAGAGCCTGCCCTGTCTCTCATTTGGGCTCTACCTTCCCGTGGCCCAACCAGAGAGTATTCCCCAACGCCTGAAGACTCAGAGGCAGCCATTATTCCTTCTACCCCATACCTCCAGACCCCTTCATACCTCACATCAACCACTCCCCCCCAATCCCGTTCTTTGCCTCTGCTGTTAACCCCCAAGGTCCCCAGGTCAGCCAGCGGATCCTGACCCCAGGCTCCAGTTGGAGCCATGGCTCTGAATGGGGCTGAGCCCCCTAGGAAGGCCAGAGAAGGTTCTGTACGGATGGTCCTGGCTCTCATTACCAGAAAAGACCCAGAAATGCAAGCCGCCCCTGCCTTCCCAGATCAGCCTCTGTTTCCGGCCTCACTCATCCATAGCTTGGCTCCATTCCCCTGCCTGTTTGCAGCTCCCGCTGCTGCAGTGTGAGGGGCCCAGACTGGAAAAACCATGCTTGAGCCCTGTTTCAACCTCAGCAACAGCCCTTCATGGAGGGTTTCGGGGGGCTCAGAGCTAGTCTCCAGCCCGCCAATTTAAGGGTCATGATGGGGCCAACCTCTGGGACTCCTAATGAAGTTTAGAAGAGGCCATGACCTCCATTCCTCCTGGGGAGCACCGGAGCCTAACCTCATCCTGGGAAGGGTCCTGATGGAGCAGAGAGCCCTTCCTCTGTTCCCCTTCTCCAGCCAGGCCTGAGAAAGGCCCTCTCTCACCACTGACCCCTCCTACTTTACTAGGAACTCAGGTTGGCCAGTGAGAGCTCTGCCTCCTCTTCCATTTGGGGATCTAACTGCGTCTCAGGGCCTCCCACTCTGATTTGTCCAGGTTCTCTCTGTGCCCCGACCCCCACCCCAGGGCCTTCCACCAGGGACAACTGATGCTGAGTATCGGGCACCCTGCTGTTCAAAATTGTGCGGTCTAGTCTAGGAGTCAGACAGGAGTTCATGAGGCCATATCATGTCATGTGGTGTGCAGTCCAGTCCTACAGGATGGGACAGACTGCTTTCTCCCAGGTCCTCAAGTCTACCCTGTTTTCTGTTTCTTCTCCCGGTTTTCCTCCCTTCCAAAATTCCCTCCCTGCTTTCTCTCCTCCCTCCCTCCTATGGAGGAGGGGAGGAAGGAGGGAGCGAAGGAACAGAGAAAACTTGGCCACTCTGGCCTGAGCAGCAGCCTCCTATGAAGCAGCAAAGCCCCCAGCTCCTGCCTTCTTCGTAGGTGAGGATGTGCTGCCTGCGCCCCGGGGGCAGCAGAGAGGGGTTGAGGATGACCCTGTGGACACTGGCAGGTAGAGATGGCTGGGGATGGCGGGAGAAGGCAAGCAAACGCAAGAAGGAAACACCATCGGTCCTACTGCATACAGGGGTGGGAGGTGGGGCAGGAGAACCCTGAGTAACCAGGGCTCTGAATCTGGGGCACCCCAAGACTCTAGAGACTCAAGTCTAAGGCCACTGGAAAACTGGAAGTGAGGCAGCAGGCTCTGCTCCCCAGGAAAAGCCATCAGCATGCAGGGGGCACATCAGAGCCTACAGCCTGACCCTACCCTGCTCAGGGTTGCCCACCAGGCCCTCCCACTGGGCCCCATGTCGCACAAGTCTTAGAGGCCATTCCTTTCCTCTATGGAGGGTGGACGGACAGAACACATTCAGTCTCAGGCTTGACCCCATTCTTTATTCCTCAGCTCTGCCCGTCACAACACAAGAAGCCAGGCCCCAGCGGGTGTGCTGAGGCTGCTGGTCCCTGCCTGGCAGGGCCCAGACCTCTTCTGCTCGCGCATGAGCACGGTGACCAATGCTGACTCAAGGCAGCCCGTCCATGAGCGCGCTGTTCAGACAGTTGTAGAGGTATATATACTGCTCCTGGGGGCAGACAAGGGGGAAGGAGCTTCACCCTGCCTGCCACATCTGGGGCAGAAAGGCTCCCTTGCGTCTCCCAACCCTTAGGCTTCCATCTCAGAGCATCGTGGTCCCCAGCACCACCTAGTGGCTGCCCAAAGCACGCTGCCTAAAGACGGCTCCTGGAACCTTCCCTGCTCCCTCACCCCTTCTCACAGCTGATCCCTGGGGGCCTCTCACCAGTGTTGGGGTCATGAGGCCACAAGCCAGTGACTGCTGCAAGGCCATGTTAAAGATGTCCACGGTGCACTCAGCCCCCGCCTGCTGTAGCAGCTGGTCCATGGCCAGGAAGGTGCCCAGCTGGGCCACACCCTTACTGCAATTGACCTCTGGTTGGATGGGGTCCAGGGGGGGGGGGGGGGGGGGCAGAGAACGCTGGGCTATCCAGGTATATGGGGAAACCCCACCTGGGCCTGGAGACTGGGAAGGGACCCCTGGGCACCTAGTGGGCCAGCAGGCCGGGGCCTGAGCCAGGAAGGGGTAAATTCCTAAAAGATGTCATATTCCCCAGAGATATCAGGGCAGAGTAAGGAGATGGTAGCACTGGGAAATTGTGCCCTTTTGACGCATGACCCAAGTAGGGCTTGATGAGATGTGAGAGCCTGCCGCAGAGGCAGTGAGGGGGTTCGGACACCCACTCCCACAGCCCCCTCCCAGCCCTTTCTTTGTCCAGCAGCACCTGGAGTGGCTGAGCAGCGTGCCCGGCTTTGTCTTGTCCCGAGAGCAGCACCGGCCCACGGCAGCCAAGAAGGGCAGCAGGGTGGTGGCCGGGAGCTCCCGCCCTGGCTCCCAGCGCGGGAACAGCAGTCTTTGCACCTGCCTCTCCTTCCTGCTCTTCCCCTGGGGGCAAAGCCATTGGCACCAGCCCAGGGAGGAGCAGAGGAAAACCAGCACAAGCCTCTTCCCCACACAGCCCAGCACCCCGCAGCCTGTGGGCCCGACACCTACATGTGTGACCCTCAGGAGGGTACAGGGCCAGCCTGCCGTGCTGCTCTCGGCCACCCAGTGCACGGTCACCATGTCTGTGACAATAGGTCTCGTCTCCGTTGGCCAGAACTCCTGTGACCGGGGACCAAGTCAGAGCCGCTCAGGTGGCTTCCCAAGCTCTCTGCCCACCCCTGGTCATAGGCCCCGCCATGAGCTCCCCCAGCCCTGCCCCAACACTGAGGCTTCCCCCCACCATCGTCTCTCTGCACCCCCTCACCTTCTCCCAGGTGTCAGGCGGGCACAGGGAGACCAGCACGTGGGCCCCGTGCTCCCACACCAGCTCCCAGAACTCCCGGGGCCCTGCAGGGCCAGTCAGCACAACGTGGTCATGGCCCGAAGGCCCACCCTGTGGAGCACACGACATTGGCTCCCAGGGACGGAGGGCACTCCCTGTCCATCACAGCTCTAGGGAGCCCAGAAACCCCAGCTCTAGCCCAAGAAGCACAAATGACCAGAGAGGGCAAGGGATAGGGCATCATCTCACAGAGAAAAGACAGGCTTCAAGCATCTCATTAGGGGGGCTGTCCTCCACCGGAGAAAACCGCACTTGATAGTCGTCGTCTGAGGGGAGATGGGGAGGGTGAGGGTGCCAAAAGCCCTGCACCCACGCCCGTTGCGGGGGGCCCACCCAGTGGGACTACAGGCACTCACAGGAGCCCGTGCTGTCCTGCTCATAGCCAGGAGGGGGTGCAGAAGAGTTGATGGCCTGGAGCAGGAGCTGGGGCCACAGAGAAGGGCATTAGGAGGCTCAGCGGGACAGAGCCCACAGAAGGACCGGTTGGGCAGGGACAGCCCCCCCCCCCCGGTTGCCACCCCCCTGGTCTGAAATACACCTTGTACTCCTTCAAGAAGCCAGCGTTGCCATTGGCCGCCCTCTTGGCACAGGCCTGTGCAAAGTTTGTCACCAAGATGGGCTGGGACCTCGGGGAGGGGTGGACAGGGGACAAGGCACACGGGGTTCCCCAGCTCCCGCTTCTAGTCTTCTCAGCTCTGCCCATGGACAGGATCGGGGGCCTGTTGGTGGGAGGGGGCACAGGGAATCTGTGCCCCCTCACACCACAAGGGCCCCAAAGGAGCTACGACTCACTCGAAGGTGGCAGAGGGCCCTTCTAGAATCTTGTTCAGGAGGCAGCTGTGCAGGAAGATGTATTGGCTCTGGCAGGAGAAGGAGGACTGAGTCAGCTGAGGGAGCAGGGCCCAGCGCGGAGATTTTCCAGCCTCCGACCAGCAAGGCAGGGATGGGGTGAGGAAGGCGGGCGTCTGGGAACCTTGCCCACGCTACCGCAAGGGGTTAAAGCTGGCAGGGGACTGTCCCACCTCCCCTCTGACAGAAAGGGAGACAGATAGGGTGGCTACCTGTTTGAGCCCCCCCCCCCCAGGTCCCCTGTGTGTCCCTGAGATTCCTTTTCCTGCCACCCCCCCCCGCCCCCTGGACCGCTGTGGCCCCGGGGCCACTCACGTCCCGCCCACTCCTTCAGGTCCCTGTGGAGCCCTCACCGGGGTCTGGATCATGAGGGGCCGATACAGCCGCAGCGCATATACAGCATTGAACACGTCCACCGTCTGCTCCTCCTCCAGCTGCCGCAGCAGCCTTGACAGGGCCACGAAGGTGCCCGTGCGGCCCACACCCGCACTGTGGGGACAACCCGGGCTGAGTGGGTGGAGGGGGGTCCCCCCACCCCAAGGCCCCGAGTCCCGCCCCCCAGGCCCACCTGCCCTCACCTGCAGTGCACCAGGATGGGGCCGGTGCCCTGGATGGCCCTCGCCTGCTCCCGTACCAGCTCCACAAAGGTGAGCAGGGAGCGGGGGGCCTCAGGGACGCTGTGGTCCGGCCAGGTGGTGAACTGCAGCTGCTTCACCCTCCGCTGCTGTTGCTGGGCAACCTGACGGGGGTGGGGGGCGTCAAGGGGGGGGAGCCTAACCCTGGGCTCCCTCTGCTCCCCCCTCAGCTTTCTTCGCCAGATCCCTGAGGGTAGGGTGGCTGATGCCTGCCCCTCAGATCTGATGCTTCCCTTGCCCCCTTCCTTCCCCAGCCTCCTGGGTAGTCTCTGCCTCTGAGGGTGCCCAGGCAGAGGGGTAATGCCGGTCCCTGGCTTTCCTGCCCTGGTCTGCCCTTGTCACAGCCTGGCAAGGCACATGAGCACGAGGGGTGTGGGGTGAGGCAGGAAGCCCTGAGCTCCACCTCTCACTGTGCAGCTTTGGAGAAAACTTTAACCTTCCTGTGCCTCCCTCTCCCCTCCCTAGCCAACTTCCTTGGACGGTGCCCGCCCGCCCTGTTCCCTGGGGCATGCACATGCTGCAGCTGGAATTCCCGCTTCGTCCACTCATCCTCGGGCTCCTCGCCCAGCAGGTGGACCATGATGTGACCGTGGGTGATGGGGGTAGGGTCTGCTGGCCAGTAATGCTCACACAGCACCTAGGGTCAGAGGGTCAGAGCAGAGGGGGTGGCTGTGGCTTTATCCAGATGACCCTTCTCACCCATCTTTCTGGTCACTGTCCCCCTGCTGAAATTCTGCTCTCTGTACCAACCCAGCTCCATGGCTACCTCGTCCAGAAGCCACTCTCCTCTGGCTGGCCTCTGGCACCATCACCCCCACACCTCTCATATGACCCTTAGGACTTCAGGGCAGCTGCTGGGCTCCTTTGCAAAACTAGGTGGCTTTATTTAGGGCTGTCTGGCCTTGCCTCACCACGCCAGCTGGAGGATGGACCCAGCAGGAGTTCTCTCTGTCCCAGGGCCCTGCATTGAGCAGTGCACGGAGGACACATCCACTGGGATTCTTGAAAGAAAGGATGCAGAATGCCCTATCTTTGATGCCCACCCTGGGGCCATCCGTACCCCATTCTCTCTCCTAACTTCTATGCCCTTCTCTGCCTAGAGCAAGAGGAAGTGGAGAAACTGAGAAACAGCAGAGGTCAGAAGAAATGGAGTCAACCTGGGAGCTTAAGTACCTAGTCCTTCCTCCCACCTCCCTCTTCTGGGTGGCCCTGGGGACCCAAACCAACTTCTAGGCATAACTGGCTTCACTCCTGCCTGACCCACATTCCCAGACCTAAGGCTGAGACAGCAGGAGGGCCATTCCTGTAAGGAGAACGTTTGCCCCCTGGTGGCCGTTCCGGGAAACTGCAGGGCATGCTCACCCTCCCATTCTCCATGCCCACCGTCAGCATGACAATGATATGAACTTGCTGCTCCCACACGAGCCGCCAGAAGTCCTCCAGAGTTTTCTTGAGAGGCCCTTGGGTGGCGATAAATTCCTGAGGGTCGGTGTAACCCTGTGGGGGTGGAAGACAGGAACGTGTTCCTCGGTAACCCCTTGGTCCCCTAGGCCCCAGCGAGCACACGGCAGTAAATGTCCTAGGTAAGATCTCCAGGAGGGAGACACTGTGCCGACACGTGTGCAAACACGTGAACACACGTGCGCACCAATAATTCAGATCAGGACGGGTGGCTTCAGAGATCCTGCCACTACCGCCCTAGCATGACCTTTAAGGGGCCAGAACAACCCACATGAAAATAACAAGGTCCTCACGTGCCAGAAATAGTGTCCCCAGTCCAACCTCTTCACCAGCCCCTTTCTCAAACCAAACTCATGTTTCTTCCATGCTCAAAATCTTCCATAGCTCCCCATTGCCCAAGTAAAATCCAGAGCCCTTAGCTTAACATTCAAGCCCCTCCTTCATCCAGACCCAATGTGCCTTTCCCATCTCGTGTGCCACCACCAGGCAACCTCAGCGCCACACACCACCTGTACGCTCCCACCCAGCTCTTCTCTGGCTGTTCCTGCCAGCCGGAATGCCCTTCCCCTCTTTTATCTCTTATCAAAATTCTACTCATCCTTCAAGCAAGTACATGTCCCCTCCTCCAGGAAGTCTTTCTTGATTCCTCAGGTAGACTTAATTTCTTCTTCTACGTGCTTTGAGTACCATGTTTGTTCCCTTAACACAGCACTTGTCACACTGAGCGGTAGAGGTGACACACTCACGCAATACACGTGTGCAGGCGCACGCACACACACGTGCACACAGGGTGCTCCTTTGAAGCCGAGACTACAGGTAGCCAGCTCTGCCCCCGGCAGGCCCAGTACAGTGTCTGGCACACAGTAGGCCCTCAACAAATACCCGCTGGCCTGACTAGAGGAACACAAGCTGGTGATCTTCGAGGACAACGGCTGGAGCTAGGGTGGGACAGTGTGTCCTGCAAAGGCGCCTGTCTCCAAGCAGACACCCCCCACAGACAGCCCTACAGGTGGCCCTTACTGGGACGAAGTTGGCATTGATGTAGTCGGAGTGGGGCTCTCCTTCCAGCTGGGTCAGCCTGACCCGGGAGTGGTCATCTGCAGACGGGAAAACCTGAGTGTCCGGGGCCGGGTGGACGCACGGCCCCCTGTCCGTGCCCACTGCCCTGCTCCGGCCCTCACAGGGTAGCACGTGTGGGTAACGGTTCTTCGTGGCATTGGCCGGGTGCTCCGCCTCCAGTCTGGGCTGCTCCTTGCCCACCTCCTTCAGCTCCTGCAGAGGTTGGGAAGCAGGCCGCGGCTGCTGAAGAGGACCCATCTCACCCCACCCCCGGAGGAGGATGGAGGCGGGGGTGCACAACTGTGAGCAGGTCCAGCCTGAGTGAGGGGCCTCAGGTCCTCTCTGCTCTGAGCCCGAGGGTGCTAGCGGCCTTACCTCGAATTCCTGAAAGAAAGCCTGGTGAGCATGCGCACTCTTGGCCTCATAGCTCTGCCGGAAGCTTTGAATTGGGATGGGCCGGTGGGTCCGCCTGGCGGGAAGGGGAGAGGGTAGGCCGACAGCGGAGCCCCACCCTGAGCTCAGTGTGTGGTGGGAGCAGAGCCACCAACTGACCTCAGTCCTGGCAGCTCAACCTGGTCACGTGGGAGCACGCATGGACAGACAGACCTGGACCCCACCTCGGGGCTGCCAACCCCCAATACAAAGAGACAGACAAGGGGACGGCGGGAGGAGGGCAGGGCAGTCAGGCTCCACGCAGGAAGGTGCCCGTCAATCTTGCAGACCCCGTCCCTGGTGCTGAGGAGGGTTTCTGTGCACAGCCGCCGCTCCCTGATGTCAGTTCAAGGTGAGGTCAATGTCAGGGAGCACAGGAAGGACAGAGCGTAGAGGGACAGATCTCACATCCCCCGAGAAGGAAAGGAGAGAAAGGTATTCAGCCCCACACCTCGCAGGTGGTTTGTCAGGGTCAAGGGCAGCACCTGAGAAGGAGGCTGAAAGAGCAGAGAGGAGCCAGAGAGCTCTGGGTGGGACACCGTTGCAAAGGTGTGACAAAAGTGTGAAGAGATCAGAAGGGATGCGGGCCCAGGGGGCAGGCTGCCGGGGACAGCGGGGGCAGGCCCTCACTGCCCAGCACGCCATGAAGAGAGACGGGAAGACGCCCTCACCGCAGGTTGTAAGCTGTCAGCTCTTGGGAAAACCGAGTCTTCTCTGCCCTGTGAAGGATGGAGAGGTGTGTGGGAGCGAGCCCAAGGGAGCAGGGGCATGGGGAGCATCTGGCGGGGGGGGGGGGGGGGGGAAGCCCCTCCTCCCCCAGCCACGCTGGCCCCACCCACCCTCGCACTCACCTGTGCCCCTTCATCCTCCTCCAGCACAGCAGGCCCAGCACGGTACAGACGGTGAGGACACAGCCCCCCATGATGGCCACCGCCGCGGGGAGGGGCATGGCTGCCCCAGAGATGCTGGCCCAGGGCTCTAGGAAGGGCGAAGGAAAGGGTGGAATGGAGTAGCCCTTGTCCCCCTGCGGTGAAAGGCCAACCTCTCCTGGACTTGAAACCTCTGGATGGAGGGCACGGCGACAACCCACCTCTGAAGTCCCAAATTCCAGCCCAAGGCCAGAGATGGCTATCGGCGGGACCGTCCTGCACAGGGACCCAGGATGCCCGGCCAGCTCTCCCTGCCCCTGGCTTCTGAGCATACCCCAAAGACTCTCCGCCCCTCTCTGACCCTCTCAAAGAAAAGAAGAGGGTGAGGACCTGGCTTCCTAGACCTTCTAGAACCGCACTGTCCAGTATGGTAGCTAGGGGTCCACGTGGAGCTATTGAGCGCTTGAAATATGGCTGCTCCAAATTAAGATTTGTTCTAAGTATAAAATACACATAGGGGGGCTCCTGGGTGGCTCAGTGGGTTAAGCCGCTGCCTTCGGCTCAGGTCATGATCTCAGGGTCCTGGGATCGAGTCCCACATCGGGCTCTCTGCTCAGCAGGGAGCCTGCTTCCCTCTCTCTCTCTCTCTGCCTGCCTCTCCATCTACTTGTGATCTCTCTCTCTGTCAAATAAATAAATAAATAAAATCTTTAAAAAAAATACACATAGGATTTCAAAGACTTAGTAATAGAAAAAAGAGTGTAAAATATCTCATTAATAATTTTTAAACTGATCCCATGTGGCTATGATAATTTTTTAATATCTTGGTTTAAATAAAATGTTACTAAAATTAGTTTCACCTGTTTGTTCTTACCTGTCTCATGTAGCTACGGAGGAATATTGAGTGACATATATGGCTCACACTTGGGGCTCGCTTTCTGTTTCTATCAGACCGTTCTAGACTGTTGGACTGTTCTAGAACCTTGATGATCTGGGAACGGCAGCACAGAGAAGGGCAGTGCTGGAAGGTAGTTGGATCGTGGGGAGTGACACACTGTTTCACTAATGTCACTGCCTCCTCTACTTGCCCCCTTCAGCCCACCCAGGCCAAGTCTGGTGCCAGGAGCACCTGTATGCCTGGCTCTGGGTCTCCCAGCTCTGCTGGGTAAGATATTGCTCTCTCTGGAGTCTATGTTCAATCCTTCCTCCAGCCTCAGAAGAGGGGGGGGTCCCCAGCACTCTTTCCCTCCCCCGGCGCCCAGCTGGAACCGTAGCCAGGTGCCCACCCTACCTGAAAAGGCCGAGAAGGAGATAATGGTCTCAGGAGGGCTGTGTCTGGTAAAAGCCACAACACTGAACCTGGGGCAGAGAAACAGGACCTTCTGTTGGGGAGGGGCAAAGAGGGCAGAGCCCTTTCCAGAAAATGGAGTTATGAGCAGTAGACATGCAGAAAGTGAGAGGCCCCCTCACCTGCTAACAGGCTATGTGTCACGTGGCAAGTTTAGAACAAGCCACCCCTAACTGCCCTTCCATCTCCCCTGCCCTATTCTCACAGCAAGAAGCCTTAGAAATAAGTGTCTGCACACCCTTGGCAAGCTGAAACAGAATCCATCCCCCCTCCCGTTTGTTTTCTTTCTTTTTTTTTTTTTTTTCTGAAAAAAAGAACCACGTAACAGATGGGTGTTCCCTTTTTTGCCTCGCCTGCCAGGAGGCCCAGTCAAAATAACTCCCTGGACCCTTACGGACCAGCAAATGCTTTCTCTTTGTAAGTCAGTCCAGATCTTTTATGGAGAAAATGTGCAAACAACCCGTAAGTGAAACTCACTTATGAAACAGGCTCCCCCCTCCCTTCAGTCTCAGCCCTCACCGGTACTGGGAGCCCGGCTTGAGTTGCCCATTACATATCTCCTGGGTCTGGCCACAGTCCTCTGTACCCATAGGCACCATCCAGGATCTCGGCACAGCCCAGGGCCCCGGGTAGAAGGGATTGGGAAGCAGGATGGCCAGGTAGGAGTCACGTCCTCCATAGTAGTGGTCGTACCACGTGTGGTTGATGGCTTCCTGCGGGGGCCGAACCACTGCAGAGGAACAGGAAAGGGGCAGAACAGAGTCAGCCGTGGGGCTGAAGCCACTCTCCCCACCACAAGCAGCTACCCCATTTCTCTCACATATTCCCACCACGCACAGCACAACAGCAGCCCTATCCATAAGAATGTTCTGGGTCTCCCTTCCTGCTCCAGTGCTCACGCCAGCCTCGGACGTTGCATTTTACCAGCCCAGGGTCTGGAGCCCCTTGGCCGTCCCATGCTAGGCAGGGGCCAGGCTCTCCCCATCCCCTCCAGGGCCAGGACTCACGTGACATGTTGGTAGTAGCAATGATGCCGTACCACTGAATCTGCCCATCATCCTTGCCAAACATACCCCGTGTGATCATCACTCCTGTCCCTGCCTCCGGCTCCAGCTGGGGGGCTGCAGCTAAGTCTGGGGGGTGCCAGCCTGGGAATGGCGAGGGGAAGAGTGAGGTCCTAACTAGGTGCCAGAGCCAAGGGCATGGGCTATGCAGTCATGTCCCCGGCACCTCTTTCAATGCCTGGCAACTAGTATCAGATGCGCACAACTAAATAAAGACTACGACACCCCCCACTCCCGGGCAAGGGGGCCGGACAGGAGCTCAAGAGCCTATGGTATGTGGATCAGAGCCAAAGAAAGCCCTGGGGGCTGGGGAACAGGGAGAGCCCCCGGCAGGGAGAGCCAGGGCAGGGAGAACCCCCGTGGGCAATGCTGGAGGGGAGCTAAGAGAGCAGAGGGGGCTCCCCAGGTCATGGGAAGCACTTACCCTCCGCAGAAGTAGCGCACACCAGGGTGACCACACGACTCCACAGGCCGTTCCTGCCCAGCACAGTGAAGCTGAGGCGGTAGGAAGTGGCAGGCACGAGGCTGGGCACGAGGAGCGCGTCCCCCGAGGTGTTGGCCTGAAAGACGAGGTACGCGTCCCCTCCCGTGGCCAGCTGCTCCGCCACCACCAGACAGACGTCCACGTCCCCCGAGGGCACCATCCAGTTCAGGGCCAGGTGAGTAGCCTCGGGCTGACACCGAACGTCCTCCACAGGGCCAGGCTCTGCAGGAAGCAAAGGGCTGGTGTTGTATGGGCGTCGGGACACCCCAAGAGGCTGGCGTCTGGGTCAGCAGCTCTCAAAACCAGCAGATACAAAGGGACCGGGACCGGGCGTTTACGTCCTTCTCCCCCGACAGACACCAACATACCAACAGGCAGCACCACGGGGTGAGTGGACGCCCGGAGTGGCCCCGCCTGGCACAGGATGGACAGGGAGAGATTACGTCCCGGTGTGAGGTCCCTTAGAATGAGGTGGGCCTGGCCGAGCCCCAGGCGCTGCTCCCAGGAGAGGTGGCCAGCCTCTGAGAGTTGGGCATGGCACAGCCCATGCCCCCGGGGGCCACTGGCCCAGGCCAGGCTGATTACGGCGCTGCTCGCCTGCATGGACACCAGCAGCTCACTGGGCATGAGCGGGGCTATGGAGGGAAGGAGAGTGGGTGAGGCCGGATGCTGAGGGCCCAGCGCACAAGGCCACGGGCCCGCTGATCCCAGGTGGGGCCCTCAGGTGTGGAGTTTCAGAAATGGAACTAACGTGGGGGCTCAGGGACTATAGAGAAAAGAATCCGGGGGTCTCAGAGGCAGCCCTGCCCACCTCTCCAGCCCCCACTCACAGGTCCAGCCGGAGGCGTTGGCAGCTGCCGTGCGGAGGGGCCCAGCCTTCGAGACAATCTCCACCTCGTACTGGGTGCCTGGGGTCAGAGCTGAGAAGCTCGTGCTGTCCACCTCAGCTCCCACGGTGCTGGCCCCTGCCTGGGCCCCTGCCTGGTACAGAGTCACCTGGTAGCCATCTCGTGACCCAGGAGCATGGACCCAGGATACCCGGAGCTGGGTGGGACCTTCAGGGGTCACATTTACCAGAGGAGGGGCAAGGGGGGCTGTGGGGAGAGCAAAATATGGGAAGGTTGATGAGAAGAGGGGTGTTATGGGCCAAACCATATCCCCCCCCAAAATTCATGTTGAGGTCCTAATCCCCAAGACATCGGAATATGACCGTTTTTTTTTGGGGGGGGATAAGGTCTTCAGAGAGATCATGAAATAAAATGAGATCACAACAGGACCCATGTCCTCATAAGAAGAGGAAATTCAGACACACCCACGCACAGAGGGGAGACCAGGTGAAGACACAGGCACAAGATTGTCATTTGCAAACCAAGGAGAGAGGTCGGGGACCCATCCTTCCCTCAGGGCCCTCAGAAGAAACCAATCTTGCCAACACTTTGATCTCAGAATTCCTGCCTCCAGAACTGGGAGACAATACATTTCTGCTCCTGGAGCCCCAGTCCCACCCCCACCGCCCCACCTGGGGTGCTCTGTGATGGCAGCTCTGGCAAATGAATGCAGAAGAAAGCAAACCAAACCTCTGGCTCCCCCCTCCCCTGAGTGTCCCCCCCATCCAGTCAGGAAACAGCAGCTCAGTATGCTCAAGTGAGCCCTAGCGTCTCCCCAACAGTCTCCCCAACAGAAGCGGCCGCACATCACGGCTCACAGCTCGTCCCTGACAGCCGCACACAAGCTCACCCAGGAGTGCACAAATGAATCAGGCCCTCTCCCTACCAAAGCACCACTCCCGGACTCAGGGCTGGACTGGACAGCCCCAGGATTAAATAAGATGCTTTTTCCCAGCTCCAGACCCTGTACCCAAGCAGCTTTTAAAGATCCCCACGTGACTGTGCAGGTTCTCGAGGACAGGCAATGCCTTGGGGCCCAAGCAGCACCCCTTCACCCTCAGCTGGAGCCCAGGCCCCGGAGTCACATAAGCCTTGCCCAGTCACCTAGTCAGCACCTCCTTTGCAACTGGGGGAAACTGAGGCTCCGAGAGGAACAAGGTTTGCTCTGGGGATGGAGCCTCAGCTAGCACCCAGGTCTCCTGCCTCCTAGGCGAGAGCTCTTTCCAGCTTCTTCTCAGGCCTGTCTAAGGTCACATGGTCCCTGGGAGGGACAAAGACATCGAGGAGAACACATAGTTTCTAGGGAATCCAGCCGGCAAGGGTGGCCAGGGAGAAAGGGGTGTGCGGGTGGCACTCACGCGTCCAGCCTGTGGCATTGGCTCTGCTGCTCTCATCTGGCCCCCGCAGGGTGGCCAGCTGAACCAGGAACTCAGTGCCTGGGGGCAGCCGGGCCCAGGAGAACTTCTGAGCTTCCGGAGGCAGAGTCTCCCTGCTTTCCAGAGTCAGGGGCTGCAAGCGGTAAAGCCACAGCTGGAAGCCATCCCTGTCCCCAGGTGGGGGGCTCCAGGAGGCCGTCAGGGCAGGAGGCTGGGAGGCGAGGCCCAGGCTCAGGTTGGCAGGAGGAGCAGGGACTGCAAGGTCAAGGAAGAAACAGCACTGGAATGACCCAAATGCCATTGTCTCTCTCCCTTCCCCCTCCCCACTACCTGCACCCTTTTCCTGGGTCTCCACAAGAGCCCCAAACATGGCCAGCCTACAAATCCAGCTTCTGTGGGGCTCCAAGCACGCTCGATTTTCTTTCCAAGAAAAGGGCACCTGGGTGGCTCAGCTGGTTAAGCCTCTGACTCCTGATTTCAGCTCAGGTCATGATCTCAGGGTCATGAGATCCAGCCCTGCATCTGGCTCTACGCTGAGCAGGAAGTCTGCTTGAGATTCTCTCTCCCCCTTCCCCAGGCCCCTCCCCACTTCTCTCAAATAGCTAAATAAATCTGAAAGAAAGAAAGAGGGGAAGGAAGGAAGGAAGGAAGGAAGGAAGGAAGGAAGGAAGGAAGGAAGGAAACCACTTGAAAAACATGGATCTCTGCCCTGTCTGCTCCCCTACCTCCTCCCCACACTGTCAGTTCCTTGAGGGTGTGATGTCTGGCTCACAGGGTCCCCACAAGACCCAGCACCCACCTCTTTAACCCCCTAGGGCCCTGGTCAGCTCACCTGCTGACATTCAGTTCCCACAAGCTCATTCTCTTTCTCTCTCTCCCTCTTTCTCCTTTTCTCTCTTACCCTCCTCCCTCCCCACACCACCTCTCCTGAGGGCCCTGGTGCATGCTTAGCCTCTCCAGAAAGCCCTTGTCTGTCTGACTCAGACCATAGCCCTCTCAGCTCACTCTCCTCCTCCTCCTCCAGGAAGCCTTCCCTGACTCCCTAAGCAGGTTTCCCTTTGGTGAGTCCTAAAAGATTAGACTGAACCACCTAAAATCCCTGATAGTCATCAATTTTAACCTGTAAGAAGACAGTCTGCATATGGTTTGAAGTACATCATGCATATCCCTATCCCGTGTTTACGTTTGCGATCTGATACATAAAATAGCATAGAATATGTGTGTGCACGTGTGTATACACGTATATATACTCTTCTGTTTACTTGTCAGTCTTCCTTTTTAGATTGTCTTATTCATGAGTTTTAACCTCAGCACCTAGCCCCATACCTAAAACATGGGAAACACTAAATATCTGTTGGCTAGATGGATGGATGGATGGCCGACCCGAGGGTAGGAAGTAGAAAATAGTTGCAAACAGATTCACCAAAAGTCCCCCTTGGATGGGCACATGACCCTCCAAATCCAGAACGTGCACACAGAAGAGCAGACAGTAAAGGAAGCCAGGACCCCAGCCCCACAGTCCTGGGCCAGCCTCCCGAAAGCTGCAGCCCAGGAACTCATGGGGGCAGGCACGCGTCCTCACAATGCTGGAGCTGGGGTTCCCTGCCCAGGTCCACACTGACACAATGTAGCGGGAGCCGGGCATTAGAGACCTGGGAGTCAGGCTGCAACTCTCTGGTCCCAAGGCAACAAGACTGCCCCATGACCTCTGGCTGCCCTCCTGATGCCAGGTGGCCCTGGAGCCTTCTTGCTGTCCCTGCTATACTGGGGCCCAACCCACAGCCAGGTCAGAGGGGCTGCTCCTGCCGGTGACCTCCAGGGACTGGGGCACCAGGGGCTCTGAAGGGAGGTGCAGTTTGGTCAGGGGGCCATATAGTGTCTGTGGCCCTGAGAAGCCCCTTCCCAGCTTTCCTGAGCTTCCCCCCCTACCCAGAGGTCCCTCCCCAAGGAAGGGCCTCACCCCAGGGTCAGGGGACACAGTAGCTGGCACTCACTGGTATGGTCTGTGAGGCTCTGGGTTGTGCTCCGGGTGGTAGCAGGTGGCACAGAGGTGTTTCCAAGGAGGCCTGGGGCTCCCTCATCATAGAGCTGTGGCTGCCTCCTGGGCTCCCCAGTGGCCACCCGCCCATCCAGCTGTAACTTGGTCCCGTTGCTCTGTCTGGGCTGGGCAGCAGAATCTGCAGAGGATGCGGTTTCTGGGGAGTGAGGACCCAGCTGCTTCTCCTCACAGGTGCCCCAGGGCAGGACCCCAGCCTGTTCCCCACCAGCCCAGACTCACCACGCAGCCAGGCACTAGCCCAGGCCCAGGCACTGTAGGGCCCAGCCAGAGCCCTCAGCTCCAGAATGTAGTGTCCAGCGGGCAGGGGCCCGGGGAATGTGGCATTGAGGGCTCCAGGGCCCCGAGTGCTGTTCTTTTCCACATGCCCGCTCAGCCTGAGCAGGTAGCCATCGCGGGCACCTGGCCCTGCCTTCCAGCTTGCCCAGAGTGCAGAGGGCAGGGGAATGAGCACCAGGTCCAGAGGGGCAGAGGGATCTAGGGGGGCAAAGAGCAAAGATGTGCAGAAAAACCCAAATGGTGGACGAGAGCCATCTTCCCCTCCTCCTGCCAGCTTCCACCTGTTTGCACCAGAAAGTGTCTTGTCCAGAGGCAGGCAGACGCCATTTGCCATTCCGGGTGAATTCTGGGATCAGGCCACGGACAACGGTCACAGAAATAACGACACATCCAGTGACCAGGGGTATCTATGTCAGTGGGGTTCTAAGTAACCCCATGCACTGCCTCACGTGGACGCCCCACCGGCCAGCAGGAGGGGTGTTCCCTGCGAGCCTCACCTCTTCCCCGTGGAATCCAAAGCCACCCGCCTCCACCTGTTGTATCCCTCTCCCTTTACCCCCTCTGCCAGAGAAGAGCTGAGGAGCCTCTGCTGTGTCCCCCGGACGCCCCCCAAAGCACTCACAGGTCCACTCGGTGGCATTGGGCCCCGCCACCTGCTGGGGCCCGGCCACAGCACTGAGCGTCAGCTTGTAGGGGGTGCCTGGAGAGAGGTGCAGGAAGGTGTGATTGGAGACCCCGCGTCTGACCACCGTGGTCAGGTTGGTGCCACCCAGGAGGTCCGTGAGCATGAGGCGGAGCCAGGCAGCCCCCTCGGAGCTGTTCCAGGAGGCTTGTAGGGCACTGGTGCCCAGGGACCGCAGCACCAGCTTGGGAGGAGACACGGGGGCTGGAAGAAGGATGGCAAGAACAAAGCCAGGCTTGAGAAAGAGGCCCGGAGTCGGACCCTGACGCCAGCCCAGGCCGTCCCAGCGTCAACCAGCTATGTGGCGACAGGGTTGCCTGTGAGGCTCTGGATGGCCTCTATCGCTCCCAGATCGGCTGCTACCCGTGCCCTGCCAGGTGCCTGCCTTACCTGTCCACTGGTGGATACTGGTCTTCGCCTGGAGGTTGCCAGCCCAGGTAGTAACCTCCAGAACATACTCACTACCTGCTAGGAGTTGGCTGAAATTATAGGACAAGGTGCCCAGTGGCATGGAGATATTGTGCACCAGCGTCTGGGATTCTGGGTGGTAGAGGAGAAGTTGGTAGCCATCTTGCTCCCCGGGGGCAGCCCCCCAAGAGGCCTCAAGGCTGGATGGGCTCCCAGGGCTGTAGAACCGCAAATTACAGACAGTCGATGGGGCTGCGTCAGAGGTGGAGAGAAGCACCAAGGTCAGGGCCAAAGGGATATCACCCCTGTTCTTCTAGTGCTTCTACATGGGTCACTGGACCAGGCACGGTCCTCAGAGAAGTTGCCCTCCTTGGCCAACCCTCCAGGACAGCTATCTCCTGCTCCGACCCTGGGAGATGCCGGCCCACTCCCGGCCCCCCTAGCCTATGGACCACACACCGGTGCGGGCGGCGATGGTGATGGTGGTGTTCTGTCCACAGGCTTGCAGGGCAGTCACCTCCAGCAGGTAGCGACTTCCTGGCACCAGGTCCTGGAACTCAAAGCTGGATGTGTTGGTGTGGGCCTGGAGCGGTTGCCCTTCTGGAGAGCCCAGGGGACTCAGGTGGGTGAGGCGGAGGGCGTGGCTCAGCTTGTCTGGCCCTGGGGCTGCCCAGCTCAGAAAGAGGCTAGTAGGCCTTCCCTGGCTGCTCACGTTGACTTTCAGAGGTGGTCCTGGGGAAAGAGGGTGCACTCAGAGTCTCCCAAAGCCCTTTCTCCTCTAAAAAAGGACGGAAGGAAAAAGAAAAGGGGGGTGTGCGGAGTAGAGGCCAAGTCTGGCATGGAGAAACTGAGCCTGCCCCCACTCCCTACCTCCCAGACCTCCCTCCCCCATTGAAGACACCTACCTCCGCTCTCTCCGTCCGGGCTCCTGGCCAGGGAATGACACTCATCTCCCTGTGGGAAGGAAGGGAGGAGGGGAGAGGAGACCCCAGAACCCTAAGCCTCTGTGAAAGCCACTGGGGGACAGGGCCAGGATCAGAGAGAAGGCTGTCCTCTTGTCCAGCCCTCCCCCAGACAGGGCCAAAAGGACATCACCCCTTCTGAGATGGCTCCGGAGGCAGCCCAGGGCAGGCAGAAGCAATTTGTTCTTGCTGTGCTCAGAGCCAGCAGCTGGGAAGGAGCAGCCTCTGCTCTGCCTAATGTAGACCAGCTGTGGGGCCCTGCAGAGAGGTGGGAGCCTGGACAGGCCCCGGAGGACAGGGCCCTATCCGCCCACCTGCCCCCAGCACCCACCATACCTTGGCCAAGAAACCCTGGAGCCAGAGGAAGGCAGCAAACAGCATTGAGAGCCTCATCCCGACGTCTGTAAAGGAAAGACAAGATGCAGCAGGGGAGGAGCCAGTCCCCCCAGCCCTCCCCTTGCCCCGCTGGCTGGCGGGCGGGCGGGCGGACTGGCGGGTGGATGGGCAGGAGGGCAAGGTTGGGAAGGCCGAGTTCCAGGCAGATGGCAGGCAGCAGGAAGCCAAAGAGCGAGGGGCTGCCTCTCAGCCCAGACCCTAACCGCTCACTGCACCCAGTGCAGCAATAGAAACTTGGCAAGTTTCCATGAGGGGAGAAAGACCCCAGGGCCTGGGAGGTAGAAGGGGACGGCACCTGTCAGGCTTCAGACAAGCCCACCTCTCCCGCTGCCTCCCCCGCCTCCACCCCTCCTCCAGAACTTGACTTTCCAGGGAGGCCTCTGGAAAGACCAAGACAAGAGATGGCCTTGCCAGTAGACACACAGAGCAGAGGCAGCTGGCTCCCTGCTCCCTGACCCCAGGGGACGAGTGTGATTCTGTTGACTCTATCAACACGTGGGAGATAGGCTGTTTGGGTTCTGTTGTGGGGGGAGGGGTGGATCCTGGTGACACCACGTGGATGTGTGTCGCTGTGGAGTGGAGGGACCCGCTGGGAGTCTGTGTCCCCTTCTGGGCATCCATGTGGCACCATGCCTTTGTGGACAGAGGTACAGGAGCACATTCTAAAGGCTGTGAGTCACAGGTATTATAGATCTGTGGCCCTTGGGACCAATCTGTTCCCATATCCTCACCGCCCAGATGAGGAAGCTGATTTCCAGAGAGGGTAGCGCCCAGCCCCAGAAGGCAAATCCTGGTCCTCACCCCCAAATTGGGGTCTCCTCAGCTTGAACCTCTCTGAGGAGCTACTTAAATCTCTAGGATATCTGCTTTCCTTCCCCCGCCCACCTAGATCAGTGGTGCCCACCCATCCCCCTGCTGCCTCCCACCCCTCCCCCACCCAGGCCCCACCAGGCTGAGGCTTGGCCTCAAAGCAAGACGGCTTCACCTGGGCCTAAATCCAGCTCCTCACCTGGAACTGCGCACCCATGTGTCCCCACCCCAAGACAGCTGACGGTGGGGAGGGGAGGGAGAACAGAAGGGGAAGAAATGGCTCTGGGCCCCGGGAAAGAGGCCCAGGACTCAGACGCTAACTCAGGAAATGGGGAGGGGGAATAGGCAGAAAACAGGCAGGTATAGAAACCGAACACCGAGACCCCTTGGTGGGAGCCAGGCTCTCAGGGGCCAGCCCCAGCAGGAAGGACAGGCCTGCATGGAGACCCGCTCAGTCTCCCTCTGGCTCAGTTCAGAACCAGGGGCTGTCTGCCCTTCCCCCACTCCACCCAGCCCCAAACCTCAGAGCCACCCACCCGGCCTCTGGACAGGGGCCTGGAAACTGAGCACTGCAAAATCATCAGATTTTCCAGGCAGCGTGTGTGTGTGTGTGTGTGTGTGTGTGTGTGTGTCTGTCTGTCTATATCCATGCACGCATGTGTTCTTTCAAAGGGGAGCAGTGGGGAGGCGCAGAGAGCAACTGGGGAAGCTGATACAAAAGACAAGATCCCGGTCTGGCCAAGAGGTCCATCCCACCTCCCCTGGGTCACCTCACTCCACTCTTTCTAGCACAGTGTCCATCAGCAGCAGCACAGGGGAGAAGAGGAGGGTGGGTGGAAACATCCTAATTCAGAATCTAAGTCGAAGAGCTGTGGCAGGACGCGGTTGTGGGGGGGGGGGATCAGGTCTTAGACCCTGCCTGAGCGTCTCCCCACAAAAGAGGGGCTTGTTGAGAACACCCAGGACTCCATAGCCGGTCTTGTGAACATTCCCGGAGGAGGCACCCAGCCACAGAAGGCACACATGTCAGGCCCCTGTCAGCCCTATGGATGGAAGAGGGGCTCCAGAGAGGGGGTAGAAAGGATCTGACAGATAAGATGCCGCCTCCCCAGCCCAAGCCTCTCCATTCAGCAAAAAAAGTACCACAAGGGCTGAGTCTTCTGCCCGGCAACCCCTCCCACAGACAAACCCACATCCTCTCCCTAGAGAACCCCTGGGGTCCTCCTAAGGTCTCAAAGCACCTTACTGATTCCTTCTGGAGAGAACCACCTGGGAGGCAGAAGAGGGCAAGAGACAGGTCCAGGCATCTTGATTCCCAACTGTGAGCCAGCCCCGGCTCTCCCTGCAGCTGTCCCACACGGCTCCCTTCCGGCCCTCCCCCTCCTCTCCCATGGCCTAAAGCCCAGCCTTGGGCATCCCCCTCGCTAGGGGAAGATAATCACCGGGCAGGGGAGGAGTAGATGGATCCGGACAGCCAAGTCTCCCACTCTTCCTCCCACGTCCTGGAGAAGGTCACCAGGGAGGGAGGAGGCCTAGATTCCTCTGGCCAGGCTGTGGGAAGGCAGCAAGGGGCGGGAGGCTGCAGACCGGTGAGGCGGGTGCATGGAGAGCAGGCAGCCTGGGCATGAGTGTGGAGGGACACACTCTGTGCGTGTGTGTGTGCATGCATGAGCTGCGAGGGTGCACACGCCTATCTGGAAGAACGTCCTCATGTGGGCGTCTGTGTGTACATGCGGGTGTCCAAGGACATCGTGGAGGGGGAGAGGGACAGGAGGGTCCCTGGGAGGAAGGAGCCTGTTGTACAACAAATGTCCATCTCATCAGCTCTGGACTTGGGAGAGAGGGAGGGACTCTCTTCCGTCCTAGAGTCCTCCAACAAGGGACCTGAGTTCCAGAAAGTGGGCCAAGAATGGGACATTTTCCTGGATCTCCAGGGAGGCTGGCCTTGGCTCCCCAGGTGCTGAGCTGGCCTGACTCACTGGCCCTTCGGCGGGGGTTGGGGTATGGGAAAGTCCCCTTCACCAACGGGTCCCCAAAAGGTGTCAGGGAAAGTGGGTCGGGCGGGGGATGAGCTTCCGGGATGGCTGGAACAAAGGTAGGGCCCTGGGTCTCCCTCTTCCTTCAGACTTCACAACAGCGGGCCCAGATCACGGCCACACAGCCTAACAGCGACAGTCTGCCCCAGTCACCCAGGGTCTCTCCTCCAGGGCCTCCCCGCTTCTGTAGGATGAGGTCTCCTGGCTCCTAGCTCTCTGCATCTCCGTCTCCCCCACACAGCCAGGGCAAGCAGGAGCCTGCAGCACTGGGGCGGAGGCAGGCCTCGGCTGGCCCAGGATTTGGGGGCGATGTGGGGGAGGAGCTACGATCCTAGGGCTTCTGGAGAGAGGCATGAAAAGGGCTAGGGAGGGGAACAAGACAGGTGGAGTGGGTGGGAGCCCGGAGTCCTGGCGCCCCAGCAGCAGGTCCAGGACCCAAGATCCTTCCCCTCTGGAATTTTACAGGGTGGCAGGCTTTGACTCCAGAGCTGGTGGCCGCCTGGCCTGTTCCCCAGGTGATGCCAAAGAGCAAGGAACCTCTGGGAAGGACACAGCTGCCCCTCCAAGGGACTTCTGACACTGAGGACAGCAAGTTGTGGCTGGCAGCCCTGGGACTGGGGAATGGAGGGGGGTTGCCGAGCCAGGGGGCGGGAGGCATGGGCCCAGGCTGCTCTGTCCCTACAGACTGGCTAGAGGAAGGGAGCAGTCTGGAGGAAGGGGGTCTGGGAGAGAGGAGACATAGATCCTCCCACCAGACATTCCTCCCCTGGACCCCTCCCCAGGTCTGCTGCCCCCCCCTCCGACAGCTCCTGAGCCCTTCAGAGGCCCAGCCCCGTTTGATGGATCAGAGAGAAGCCAGGATCCTCCGCATGGGAAGGGAGAAGCCTGATAGCCTGATGTGGAGACTGAGCCTCGGAGAGGTTCAGTAACTCACCCAGGGTCACACAGCTAATGTGGCACAGTTTCGAGTCATTGCATGTGACACACTCTGGCTTTCAATGATCGCTGTATTTTATCTGGGGTGAAGGGATGGCTGGGACCTAAACCCCAGCTCTGGAAGGCAAATCAGCTCCTGGAGAGATGAGGTTTGAGAGCTGTCTGGGGCTGTTCCACCCCAGGAACGAGGAAGGTTCTGGGGGCGGAGGAGTCTCTCTGAGGGAACACCAGGCCTTCCCCCGTTCCAGCATCCTGACTGGTCTGGGGAGGAGCTGCTGCAGGGCACCTTGTCCTCTCTGAGGCTCGTGGGTGGTGCGCTCACGCCTCCTGAGCTCTAGCCGCACACCGCCATGAGCAGGAGCAGAAGCAGAAGGGAGAGCAAGGACAGGTGGCAAGGAGTGACTATCCCCCCAACCCCAAACACACCCAAAGGGAACTGAGAGATCCTCAGGGTCTTGCCCAATGCCATTGCCCCCACCCCCAACTCCCTCTCCCACCTCCTGGCCCCCAGCTTCCTTGCTCTTCCCCGGAGAGCTCAGCTTCCAGCTCCTCAAACCGCTGCTGGGCCCAGCTTTGGGAGGGTAGAGGGTGCGCTCACGGCTCACTACGGGGCTCAGACCCTGGAAACTTGGTAGAAACCTGGAGGTACTGGCAGACCAGTGGGGGGAAGGCTTTGCCTGCTTCCTCCTCCCCACCCCTGTGGTATCCTAGCTTCCTGTTCTTGATAACAATTAACAGCCTGGCCCTGCGGGGGTGGACCTCTTTGTGATCCCCTCCTGCCCCCTTTTTTGATCCCCAAGGTTTGGGGAGCAGTTGAGGAGAAGTCAGCTTCGGGTCACTTCCCACAGATTTACCAGGGATTCCCAGGCTCTCCTGCCCCTGCCCTTACCCTGTCCTTGGTACCAGGGCTGACTGCCACTTTGGCCTCTCCTTTCAGGGAAACCACCCACTCCCCAGAGTGAAGAAGGGTCCAAAACCAGCTGGCCCTGGAGGGGCTCAGAAAGGAGCCAGTGCCTGGTCCCCCACCCCCACCCCTTCAGGGAGCAACAGGCACTAGGAGGCCTCCCGAGCCCCAAAGGGTCATTCTGGTCTTTGTCCCCCCCACCCCGCTATGGGCCAGCAGCAGAGGCCAGCCCCCTCCCCACCATCCTTCCTGTGTGTGCACCCCCTGTGTCTACTGTAAATCATTTCTTTTTTGCTGTCACCATTTGACAGCTGAATCAGAGAAGTGGGAGGAAGAGAGAGGTTGGGGATTGCGCGTGTTGGGGCCAGGAAGGGAAGGGTGTTTGGAATGTTACAAGGTAGAAGCTGTGCAGCGAGCATGAACTGGCTGGGCTGCTGGCCAGCAAGGGGCCTGCCAAGGCGAGGCAGGGGTGGGGGGCAGTGGAGTCTTGGACGCGGGGGCCACTTCCTAGGCCCCAGTCATCCAGGCGCCCCAGAAGCGAAGAAGACACGGGAGTCCCCCTGGTGTGAGGGCCAGAGACTGTCCACTCTCTGTAAGTCTTCTAATAGATGTCAGGATTCTGGGAGGAAGCCTGGAGGTGCTGGGGGCAGAGAGAAAGCCCCCCAGACTCTCCTACAAACTGTCTCTCCTCTCTACTTCCTGGCCAGCTGGTCTATCTCCAGCCACCGGTAGCTGACAGCTGGGGTATGGCTCAAATCCTGGGGACGACCCTTCTGGTCCAGCCTGGGCCTTTCTTCCCCAGAGTGGAGCAAGGAGTCCTGCCTCCTTCCTCACCTCCCAGCCCACCTCAAGTCCACACCCAGCTCTGCTTTGAGAAGGTACAACGTGTACCTGACCATGAACTCACAGGACTTGAAGGGGCAAGGGCTTCCGGGACAGGGGCTTTGAGGCAGAATCAGAGAGAAGTCAGTCTCTGGACAGGGCCAGCTTGAACAGGAAAAACTTGGGGTTTCTGTGTGGGCCAGCGTGGCGCTAAGGGTCAGCTGAGCTCCGCCTAGGAAGCGGGCAGGGACTGGATGTGACAAAGGCCCAGAGGACAAGCAGTCCAGGGAGCAAGGGGGTTTGGCAGCTAGGGGACCAGGGTGGTCAGGAATGGGCCGGCCCCTCCCTCTCCATCCCCACAGAGCAGGGCCTTAGGCCCGTGACAGAAGTGCCAGGCCACAGCCAGCCCACCCCCAGAGGGGCACAGGCAAGAGGCACCCGACCCCTGGTGGTGGCAGCGGGCGCAGGAGGGCAGCACGCAGCTGGGGTGTGCGTGGGTGGCAGCAAGGAGGGGCAGAGGGAGGAAGCTGGCTTCCTGAAGCCTCCTCAGCCCTCAAAGACCGACCAACAGACAGACAGACAGCTGGCAAGAGGCAGCCTGGGAGACACAGCTGCTTCAGTAAGTACCTGAATGGGGGGAGGAGGGGCCCTGTGGTCCCTGGTGGGGGGGGTGAGTCCCGGGGGAGCGGGCGGGTGGGCATCTCCAAGAACGGTGTGAGTAAGGTTGCATTGGGAACTACAGTGCCCGGCTGGGGAATGGGTGCTGACCTAGCTGATATCCCCGAGGAGCACGGGGCAGGGGAGCCACGGGGGGGCTGCATGGATAGCAGAGGTCAACAACCCCCCTGCGTGCTTTGGGAGAGCTTCTCTCTACCACACACATCTGAGCCGAGCCCACCCTGTCCCCTCACCTCTGTGCCTGTGGGCTTAGCGACTCTCACACCGCCACCACCCCTCGGAAGCTGTGACCTGGCTCTGGAAGCTGGGGACCGTCCCCCAAGAGGAGGGGCCCCACCACCTCCATGTCCCCCTCTTGTGCCCCAGCTGTCGCCTCACCATGCACTGCCGCTCAAGGGCTTGGTGAGGCCATTTCCTGTGACGGTTACAGAGGCGGGAGATGGGGGGATGGGCAGAGGAAGAAGGAAACACCCCCCCACCATAGTCAACCTCCCTGGACAGAGACCCCAGAAGCCAGAATGAACTTGGGAACTGCCAGCAGTTAGGACAGGGTCTACAAGCGTCCTCAACTGGCTCCAGGGGTGCAGGAGGCCTCAACCCTCTCATTTCAGAGAAGGCCTGGACTAGAGGTGGTTTCTGTGAGCTTTCTCTCTCCCTTCTACACAGAACACATCGTTTCTGTTTCCTCCCTTGCCTTCTCTGCTGCTGGGGCCCCAGCTTTGAGCCCTCTGTACGCTGGCCTCAGGCAGCCTCTTGTCCCCTCTCACCCTCCTTCTGGAGTCTTTCCTGCCCTTCCCCTCCCGTCACAATCTCTGTGCCTTGTCTGGTCCCTACCCCAACCCCAGACTGCCCACCGCCTTGGGTCCCCCTGTAGAGATCCCGGCCATCCTGCAGTGATAATGACAGAACTGCTCAGGGAACAGAGGACACCCCAGTGAAAACTGGGGTGTCAGAAAGCAGGCGGCTGGCCTGGGCGTGGGAGTCTTCCCCCTGGCCAGGTGAACAGGCCAGAGGTCAACAGCTGAGGGGCCCTGTGTTTCAGGTGAACCTCATGGCTGAGTGAGGCCCAGCACACCCTCCCCCGCAGCATGGTCCAGGACCGTGGGGGGTGCTCCCGAGCACAGCTGCTGACCTGGTCTTCGGAGGCAGCCATGACCCAGCCTCCACCCACCAAGGCACCGGTCAAGAAGCATGTGAGGCTTCAGGAGAGGTGAGATCTTGCCTGGCAGAAGGGTCTCTTCCCAGCCCTGGGACCCCGCCCAATTCCCTCCATCGGCCCCTCCAGCTCTGACAGCCGGGTCCGGAGGGCCCTCAGCTGTTGACTCCAATCAGGAAAGGAAACCCGATGTGTTCATTTGCGTGTCGTTTGCATGTCATTTTCATGTCTGGGATATAACATTTCATGTCAACCCTGCGCCTGCTCCCCAAACCCTAAGTTGGGCCGAGGAGCCCCTGGAGCAGGGTATAGAGCAGATCTGGATATAGGTCTGAGCTTTAGGAGCCTGCAAGGAACTGGCAGGGGTGGGCAGCTGGAGGTTCAAGGCTGCCTTGATCTGAGAAACAAATAAAAGGGATACAGGGGGGCCTGAACCCTGGAATCCCCTGGGGTTCTGGGTAAGAATGGCTAAAGCAGCCCTTGTTCCTGGGCACTCACAAGGCGCTGGTCGCCTACGTCTGCAGGCGGGGCTCCAATGTTGCTCTGATGCTCGATGTGCGGTCCCTGGGGGCTGTGGAACCCATCTGCTCAGTGAACACACCCCGGGAGGTCACCCTACACTTTCTGCGCACAGCTGGACACCCCCTCACCCGCTGGGCCCTGCAGCACCAGCCACCCAGCCCCAAGCAGCTGGAAGAGGAATTCTTGGTAAGAACTTAGGGTCCCCTCCCAGTCACTCTGCCCTTCTGAATCAGAGACAGCCAGCCGGCACCGTACTCTCTCGGGCACTGCAGGTATGTCCCCTCTTCGGGCCCTCCAGAACGACGAGAACCCCAGTGCTGAGGGAGAAAACCACCCCCTGCTCCCTCTTTCTGCCCTCCACCCCACACAGACCTAAAGCCAGAAGGGGCCAGCCAGGACCACTCCACTAGATCAGGGTGCAGGGTGTGGGGGAGGGGAAGGAGGCTGGGAAGAGGTATGGGCTATTTACTCTTTTCCTTCCTCTGCCAGAAGATCCCCTCAAACTTTGTCGACCCTGAAGAACTGGATATTCCTGGCCATGCCTCCAAGGACCGATATAAGACCATCTTGCCAAGTAAGAACTGTGACAGCCATTAAGGGAGGCAGTGCTGTCCCTGGGGCTGCAAGGTTCAGAAGGAAAGACACACAGCCTCAGCTGGGGAAGAGCTCCCTCACAGGGGCACCTGCTTTCTGCAGGGAAATCCCAGTACCTGCCCCGGCTGGGGGAAGAAGGAGTGAGAACCCTAACCACAGTTAGAATACGGCCACTCATAGTAGATGCTTACTGAGGGCCTGGCAGCGCTGGAAGCCGCTGACGGTAGCTCATTTCTCAAAATGGCCCCATGAAGTTGATGTCCCCCTTTTACAAACGAGGCAACAGAGTCTCAGAAAGGTTGCATAACTTGCCCAAGATCAGGGCTTCTTTCTGCTTTTCCTTCACTGTGGGAAACACCCAGCAGAGGTAGTGGGAAAGGCACAATCAGGAGGGCTCCCAGAGAGAGGGCTTCGAGCAGCTCAGACGCAGGGAAGCGAGCGGGGACAAGTTTGGAGATGGGAGTCCAGGCGCTGTAAGGGGTTGTCCCCGCAAGCTCAAAGGACCCAGGGATCAGCACCTCCCACTTTTCAGAGGCAAGCATGAGACCCTCGAAGACTCTCTCCCTCCCCCACTCAGAGCAGCCTTGTCTGGCCAACCCACCTCCAGCAACTCCCAGTCTCGAGCCCTTAGCTCACCACCAGCTCCTGTGGTTCCAGCCCTCTGCCCGCAGGGGTGGGCCAGCACCCATCTGAGTGAGGGGGAGGGAGCAGCCCTTGTTCTTGGCCCAAGTCTAACCAGCCTGCAACCTTGAGAGAGGGGAGAGGTCCCTCTGCCTGAAATCCCGCTCTGTCCAGAACCAGGCCAGCACCAGCACCGGGAGAGCTAGTCTCCTTTCCTCACAAGCTAGGTTCTCTGTTCCTGCTTGGATTGGATTTGGAGAAAGCCTTCCCTCTTCGAGGGAGAGGCTGACACACCCAGTAGCGGAATGAAGTGGAAGTTCTGTCCCACTTCCCCACTTTGGGATTTTAGGCAAGTCACTCATCCAAATCCCGTATTCACCATCAGAAAAAACTCTTTCTCCAGGGCATCTCTTTTTCTGTTCCTGTTGGTACTGTCCTGCTCCACACCCCTACTGATCTCAGGGCTAGAATAACTCACTCACCACCCATTAGGCCCTGCTGCTCCGTTCCCTTTCCTTAATAGTCTGTCCTACATGGCACCACCCAGTTAACCTTCCCCAGTTATTCCTTTGATCGTGTCACTCCACTGCTCCGAAACCTTCTGTGGCTCCCTATTGTCCGCATATAAAATAATTTAGTGGGTCTCTGGCCACCTGCTATGCCAGAGATACTGTGATAAGCACAGGAACTCACCTCTTACTGACCCTGCTGGCATGTGCATTCGTTGGTCCCCTTTTGACCCCTGACCTCTGCTGATTTTTACTTCCTAGATCCCCAGAGCCGGGTCTGTCTAGGCCGGGCACAGAGCCAAGAAGACGGAGACTACATCAACGCCAACTACATCCGAGTGAGTAGTGTGAGTGGCCTGGCTGTGGCTGCCCTGCAGGGAGTGGGGGTGTGGGGGCTGGCGGGGGCTGGGGGGAGCAGAGAACATCTTCCAACTGTGGGTTCCTGCTTCAAATCACGACCGCCAAGCAGGGGCAGACCCTGAAGAGGCCCCAAGCCACCAACCAAGAAGACAGAGGAGATGTTACACTGAGAAGAAACCACCCAGTCTCCACACACCCGATCACTTCTTCGCTGCCCACCCTCTACGCAGGGAGGAAGTTGCATTGTTGAACCTACTCCCGCCTATCCCCAGGGCTCGACCCTCTTAGCTCTGCTTGGGAGGTGCTTGCACAAACAGGAGCTCTGAGCTGTCTCTCTTTTCTCTCTCTCTCTAGCCTTAACTACTCTCCAAAGCAGCCCCTCCTTTGTGGGGATGATTTAACATCAAACTATAGGAGCCAGGGAGGCAAGGTGGCCTCTCTACCCCAGCACCCCCAACTCTAGAGCCCTAAGTAGCTGTAAAAGCAGCGCCCCCTAGTGGCTCAAAGTGGGTAAGACAGCGCTCCGAGGTGCCAAGAGATGGAAAGCTGTTAGCCAGGGCCCCCTGAAGAAAGGAGACCTCCCATTTGTCCTGGAAACTTGGTGAATGGTCGTCTGTTTGGATTTCGTCATCTTGAGAAGCTGAAATTCTGAAAGGGAGAGGAAGGGCCCAGTAAGAGTGTGCTACATCTGGCTACTAAATATATAAAAGTAATACATAGAAGTGAAACATTCACTCCAGCAATGTTGAACACGGTTTTCTTATTTTGTGCTAGTAGAAGCAGCGGGGGAGGAAGGGCGGGGGGCACTCACTGACAAAGGATCTGGTATGTGCTAGCCTCGTCATATGCTTTGTGGGATGTAATCTGTACTCTATGCCTGCAAGTTAGATATTATGCCCAAATGATAGATGAGAAAGCTGAGGCGTAAGGAGGCTAGGTAACCTGCTTATGGTGGCATAGCCAGGGAGCGCAGAACAAGGATTTGAACCCACATGTTCCTCCCTCTGGAACCCGTGTCCTCTCCACCACGTGGCTTCCAGGGCACACAAGTGTGTGTCTGTGTGTGCACGTCCAATGGCTTAGGCCTGATCCCAGGACCTGCAGAGTCCCCAGCAAGCTAATGCTCACTGCTTCCCACCCTTCCTTTTGCTCCTCCACCTCCCCAGGGGTACGATGGGCAGGAGAAGGTCTACATCGCGACCCAGGGCCCCATGCCCAACACCGTGTCAGACTTCTGGGAGATGGTGTGGCAGGAAGAAGTATCACTCATCGTCATGCTCACTCAGCTCCGAGAGGGCAAGGAGGTAGGAGCCATGGTCCTTAGTGAACCCAGAAAGGGCTACATCTTACCCCACCACACATGCCCCTACTCAGGGCACCTCAGGACTAGGGGCTCCCCGGGAACTGACAATAGCTATCGTCGGGCCCAGCTTGCACGTCTTAGGAAAGTTTCCGAGCTATATGCCATGGGGGCTTTCCACAGCCATAATGGGGGGTGGGATGAGCACTTCCTCTGCACAGTGCCAAGCTCAGGAGAGCCTGCCCCAGGTACTGACACAGGCAGTAGCAGCCCCTCCAACAGGGGTGGGAGATGGGGAGAGGCCCCACTCCCCTTTCTGCTGTCCTGGCCCCTGCATGGCCTGACAGACACTTCCCCCTTCTGACTCCCAGCTCCCTCCCTCCTAGAAATGTGTCCACTACTGGCCCACAGAAGAGGAAACCTATGGACCCTTCCGGCTACGCATCCAAGACACGAAAGAGTGTCCGGAGTACACCGTGCGACAGCTTACCATCCAGGTACGGGAAGGTCAGGCCATCTCTGGCTTTTCTGAAACTCAGGCCCCGCCTTCCCTGGGATCCCAGGGTTGGCTCATCTAAACCTTCTTGAACATGAATCTAAAAGAAGAGCTTAAGGGGGTGCCTGGGTGGCTCAGTGGGTTAAGCCTCTGCCTTCAGCTCAGGTCATGATCTCAGGGTCCTGGGATCGAGGCCCGCATCGGGCTCTCTGCTCAGCGGGGAGCCTGCTTTCTCCTCTCTCTCTCTATGCCTTCCTCTCTGCATACTTGTGATCTCTCTCTCTCTGTTTCAAATAAATAAATAAAAATCTTTAAAAAAAAAAAAAGAAGAAGAGCTTAAGGCACAGAAGAAAGAGAAACATGGGTACCACCCTGGTCTAATAGGGCAGAGCCAACAAACCCAGCAGGAGCTGCTGGGAGGGCCCATCCACCTGTACTGAATGGGTTGGGAAAGGAGAGGTGGGGTCCCGGAGTCATGCTGAAGGAGCCCCAGGAAGTCCAGAGAGACGGATGATGACACATGCAAAGTGCTTTAAATGCCTTCTATTATTGAAGAGCATTTTATACTTTTCAAAGCATTTCTCTATCAACCCCTTATCCTCCAAGCATCCAGAGAAGTAAGCCAACAAGCTATCACTGTCTTTTTCTAAGCGAAGAGAATGAGGTTAAGGGATTTTGCTCAAAGTCATGTGCTAGTTAGAGGCAGAGCCAGAGGCAGGACTTGAACTTGGGTCTCTCCCCCCATCCCTGAACATCATTCCTTCCAGCCTTTCAGGGGAGGGAATTGTGAAGTCTGATGAGCAGGAGAAGGGAGGGCTGACCTTGCCTGCTCAGGGTCCCTGATTGTGCCATGGAGTCATTCTAGCCCTTGACCTCTGGGCACCAGAAAAGGCTGGCAGTGGCCCCTCCCCGACCCTGGTTCTCATGTCCTGTCGCTCTGCCAGCACCAGGAGGAGTGTCGGGGAGTGAAGCATGTCCTCTTCTCTGCCTGGCCTGATCACCAGACCCCAGAGTCGGCTGGGCCCCTGCTGCGCCTGGTAGCCGAGGTGGAAGAGAGCCCAGAGACAGCTGCCAACACTGGGCCCATCGTGGTCCACTGCAGGTATGCACCCTCTCCCCCCACGGCGAGCCTGGACACAGGCCCCCCTTCCCTTGTTGTTGGGTCTCTCCTTAGAATGCGTTCAGGAAGGACAGCATCAGTCAGGCCCAATTCTTCCCAGGAAGGGACTCTCTTGATCATTCAGCAAAGTGCCCTGTGTTTATTCTCTCCTTCATGAAAAACCTGCCATGTGGGCAGGACATTCGGGCACAAGCCAGAGAGGGGACAGAGTATCAGAAAGCTTTGCAGTCTGTTCAGGGCAGGGTTGGGGCAGGGGGAGGTCAACATGGTTGACATGCTGAGAAACTCCCTTATTCTGCAAATGCTTACCGAAAACCTGTTATCGTGAGGCACAGTGATAGACGCGAAGGAGACAGCTCGGCTTCTGCCCTGACAGGCTCACAGTCTGGAGATGAAGTGAAGCTGCCCCGCGCTGTGTGGCGAGGGCTCTGAGGGCAGTGTCCGGGAGCACAGGACCAAGTCGCCCATCCCAGACTTGGGCCAGAGAAGGTTTTCCAGGAAAAAGGACATTTAAACTAAGTGAAAACCTGAGCGGTGAATTAGCCAAGTGAAGAGTGGAAAGGGGAAGCGTTCCAGAGAGATGGAACAGAATGTACAAAGGCCCCTCGATGACATTTTTATTTCTTTATTTATTTTGTTTTTTTTAAAGATTTTATTTATTTATTTGACAGACAGAGATCACAAGTAGGCAGAGAAGCAGGCAGAGAGAGAGGAGGAAGCAGGCTCCCTGCGGAGCAGAGAGTCCGATGCGGGGCTCGATCCCAGGACCCTGAGACCATGACCTGAGCTGAAAGCAGAGGCTTTAACCCACTGAGCCACCCAGGTGCCCTGACATTTAAAAAAATTTTAAAGATCTTGTTTATTTATCTGACAGAGAGAGAGAGTGAGTACAGGCAGGGGGAGCGGTAGGCAGAGGGAGAGGGAGAAGCAGGCTCCTCACTGAGCAGGGAGCCCAGTGCAGGCTCGATCCCAGGACTCTGGGGTCATGACCTGAGCTGAAGACAGACACTTAACTGACTGAGTCATCCAGTGCCCTAGACGACATTTCTAAATGGACACATTGCTGAGAGTGGAGTTAGAGGATGGGGGCCTGGAGGTCATGTGGGGGAAGGGAGGAGAGGGATAAAAGATAAGTCTGAAAGGCCAGGGACCTCAGAGGACTGGCTAAGAAACTTGGATTTAGCCAAAGGGATACTTTGGCTACAGAATAAGAATCTGATTGGGATAGAGTCACGGGTAACACAAGGGATAAGCTTATAATAACGAAACCATTCGGGAGTGCATGCCCTAAATAGAACATAGTCGCAGAAGTACAGACAGAGGTGGGATGCCTGGGTGGCTCAGTAAGTGTCTGCCTTCAGCTCAGGTTATGATCCCGGGGTCCTGGGATCGAGCCCCACATTGGGCTCCCTGCTCAGTGGGAAGGCTGCTTCTCCCTCTGCATCTCTCTCTCTCTGTCCACCCCTTCTCTGACAAATAAATAATTAAATCTTAAAAAAAAAAAGTACAGACCGAGGGGACTCATGAGCCCCCTCCCCACAGGTGACACCTGGACCTTAAGTGCTGGGAAGTCCTGAGTGGCTTCTATCAGGGGTCCAGACGAGAAGCCTTCCCAAAAAGGGGGGCCAGGCGGGTTTTGAAATAAAGAGCAAGACAGAGCAGAGTGGAGGGCCAGCTGTGGGAAGAACGCAGGGCTGGGAAAGGGGGCTGAGTGTCAGCCGCTGTGGGGATGAAGTCATGGGAGAAGGCGGACCCAGGAGCTCAGCAGGCCCGGCGTGAGCACTGACAGCTGGAAACCGCCGCTACCTGCGGCTGCGCAGAAGACGGCTCCTTGGAATGTCCACGGGGACTGGAGGGGGACCCGGGATAAGTTTACAGTGAGGCTAGTAAAAAATGTAAACTCCTCTAACACCCGCTGTCATCTGTGAAGATCCTGCTGCCTTCATCCTTCCGCAGGTCCCCACCCCCCAAAACAGAGGCCGAAAGTGCCTGTGGCTTTTCTCTGCAGTTTAAGGCCCAGCCCCCATGTTCCCTGGTCACCTGTCTCCCACGTTCCCTCACTCACCTGGCCCCCATGTTCCCTGGTCTTCTGTGACCTCCCTGTCGCCTCCCTGGTTGTGTCCAGTGCAGGGATTGGCCGGACTGGCTGCTTCATCGCCACCCGAATTGGCTGTCAGCAACTGAAGGCCCGTGGGGAAGTGGACATTCTGGGCATCGTGTGCCAGCTGCGGCTGGACAGGTGGGTCTGTGGATGAGGACGGGACCGACAACGTTAAGGTGTAGCCTCCCTGCTTCCTGGGCCCCAGAAGCACTCAGAGGCACGTCCCCCTCGAGCACCTCCCTCGAGAAAGGAAGGGGCCCTTGGCTTAAAGAGCCGTTTCTTTTGCCACTAACACCCAGGAAATAACCTCTATCCAGAATGCCCCTCTGCGGATAGCTGAGCCTTGTCTCTGTTTTGGTGTATTTCCAGATTCCCTACTCAGGGAAAGGTGGAGGAAGAAGGGACATGAACGCAGACACAGAGAACGCACAGAAGTCCCCAGATCTGGGGACAGGGAACCGAGGTGCAGACTCTGCCTTGTACCTCACTGAGCTGTCATGATATTTCTCTGGGCTTCCATGCCTTTATCTAGAGAGAAATAATGGCTCCTTTCCTCAGAGAGCTGAGGGAATTACCATGTTTACCAAATAGGGAATTACCATTTTTACTTCACAGGTGGGGAGGAGGAAACTTGGAGGCTCAGGAATATTCCTGGCCCAGCCCAAGGAATCAGGGACCTGGTTCTGCCCCAGGAGGCTGACGGGTCAGAGAGTTCCAGTGCGGTGTGTCTCCTCCTCGGCACAGCCGGCTGAGGGGCTTAGCCCCAGGTGTGGGGCCAAGGGACTGTCCTTGTGGGGAAGGTGTGAGGGGCAGCAAGCAGGAGTAGGAAGCCCAGAGGAGGACTATATGGAGTAGTTGACGGGTTCTTTGAGAGAACCTCCCTGGTGAATTATGAAGATGTTTGGCCTGACCCTCCTCCTCCACTCATGACCTGTATGCTTCCCTCACAGGGGTGGAATGATCCAGACCACGGAGCAGTACCAGTTCCTACATCACACGCTGGCCCTGTATGCGGCCCAGCTCCCTGATGAGCCCTGCCCCTGAGCCCTGGCGCCCTCCACCAGCCCCGGAGCCAAAGTCCCCCAGGCCTGGGTAGGGGGGTCAGGCAGAGTGGGCCTCTGGATCTGAGGGACCCCTTGGATGGGCCTGGGGAAGGGGTGTCTCCTCGGGGGGCACACACAGTCACTGGGAGCTGCATCAGCAAGGACTGAGACTGGACTCCAGGTCTTTAAGATGGGCCACTCTTCTGCTTCCTCGACTAGCCCCAGACGGACACTTGGGGGGACCTCCCGTGTCTCTCTGACTTGCGAGCCAGGAGCCGGCATTGATCATAGAGCTGAGGAAGGAGCCCAGGAGTCCTGGTCTTGTCTAAAGTGCTCTGTGAGCTTCATCTCTCTGTCTAGGACACAGACATTGTGTGTTTTGCTCGCGTAGTTAAAAGCAATCACAGAAGTTCCTAGAAGCCGCTCCACCTAGATCCCCTTCCTGGGGCTGGCAAGACAGTGATCCCCAGATCTTCCGCCTGGGGCCTGCCCAAGAATAGGCCAGATGCCAGAGCTGGGAAAAGTCTGATCCTGACCATGGCCAAGATCTCGACATCCCACCAATGCTTCTTCACCCCCCCATCCGGGAGGTGGGCCGGACACCCCGCCCAAGAGAACAAGACCCAGATGAACCCTGTGCCCACACTTGAGCTCTGGGTTCAGGCTACACAGGTGACCAGGCCAGGCAGTTGAAACCTCTGGAAGAGGGAAAGTGTGGGGACCCCTCAGAGGTCCAGAGGGCTACCCCTGCCAGCCACTCACTCCAGCTACTCCCTAGGGAGGCCCAGCATCCTCTGTCTTCCTTCCATGGCCTCGGGAGATCCCTGGGTAGCAGGAGGTACAAAAGAAGAAGGAGTGAGGGAGAAACATAGAGCTTGGCCTGACTTTAGAAAACCAGCCCCCCGCCATTCACCCCTTGCATTTGCAGAATGCACCTGGAGAGCCTGGCTGAGTCCACAAACGATCAGGGTGAACGCATTCCATGCAGACCTGGGGGCTCAGACGAACTCGGGGTCCCTCATGGTCTATTCCAGAGAACGAACTCCCTTCAGCATCTCCGTAGCAACACAAGTTCCAGGGCACCCCACATCTGTCTGAGGGCTCACCTCCACATCGCCAGGAAGACCTCCAAATCCTTTGTCCTTGGATCCAAGATGGGCTGCCTACGGGGATGAAGGAAGGTAGCATCTCTCCGGGAACCCAGCCCCTGGGTCTGCTTCAGCTGATGCCAGTTCTCTGAGGAACCCCCTGAGGGACTGGTTCCTAGAGAACAGCTGAGCCACCTCATTTAGGACATCTCTTTGGAAGAACCTGCAATGTTGAAACTGGGGTTAATTTTCTTAACGCTTCTGCTTGGTCTCACAATGGAATTCCTCCTTCCTTACAGCCCCGGGAGTGGGCTCTCCTGCACCCACAACTTGTCTAACCCCTGTGCGGGGCACGCACAGCCTGGGCCCGTGAAGCTGGGCAAGGAGTTCACACCCATGTACGAGCATGGGCCCAGAGGCTCCCCTCCCTGGCACTGTCGCCCTGACCCCGTTCGTTCTAGAACTTAGAGAAGTACAAGCTCTGGAAAAGGAACCAAGTGGGAGAATAAAGGCTTTTTGGATGACTGATTCATTTTTTCTTTCCATCTTTTTCTCGGGCCCCTGGAGCCTCTTTATAGCAATAGAGTAAGAATCCATACATCAGGAAGAGGCTTCAGATCCTTGTCCCAGGACATGCACATTTCTAGAACTTCCTGAGACACATCAAAGTGCCACTGGGGTCACTTTGGGAAATGGGGCACGGGTGTACCCTTAGGAGCTAGATAGGAACCTATAAGGGGCAGAAGCTAGAAAGATGATACTGTGTCTGATCATTGAGGGTCATCTTGGGTACTTTTGACAGATCCTGTTTAGGTCGATAATTTATGTGCTTTTTTTTTTTTTTTTAAAGATTTTATTTATTTATTTGACAGAAATCACAAGTAGAGAGGCAGGCACAGAGAGAGGGGGAGGCAGGCTCCCTGCTGAGCAGAAAGCCCAATGCCCAATGCAGGGCTCCATCCCAGGACCCCAGAATCATGACCTAAGCCAAAGGCAGAGGCTTTAACACACTGAGCCCCCCAGGTGCCCCAATTTATGTGCTTTTAACTACAACAACAGACTACATGTAAGTTTGAAAACCAGATACTGGGGCGCCTGGGTGACTCAGTCCGATAAACATCTGCTTTCCACTGGGGTCATGATCTCAGGGTCCTGTGACAAAGCCCCACATTGGGGGTGGGGGGTGGCAACCCTGGTCAGCCAGAAGTCTGCTTCTCCCTCTCCCTGTGCCCCTCCGCCCCATGCTTTCTCTTTCAAATAAATAGATAATATCTTAGAAAGAAATAAAACCAATAAAACTAAGAAGCACTCATCCTAGGTCCCTGACTGTCCTGAAGCCTGGGACCATGGGGGAACAGCCAGCCCTGGGAGGCCCTGTGGCTCTAATCTCTGAAGCCTGGGGCCTGTGGGCCGGCCCTCCACCTCCCACCGACAGCTGTCCTCCTGAAGGAAACTTTGGCTTTCACCAAAACAGGCCAACTTTTTCACTGGAATTCCCAGCCCCCAAGCAGGATTTTATCTGTGAATTACGGTGATACTAGGGAAAATCAGCGTCGGCCTCAAACACCTCTTGATTTCACTTGGGGCCAGAGGCTTCCTAAACAAGCAGTTTGGGTAAACTGTGGTTAGCGAAACAAGACGGAGCATTAACACGCCCGAACCCGGCTGTTACTCTCCGCGGGTTAGGTTTGGAAAGGGTAACGCTCAGTCCCCCGAGATGTTCAAGAGGCAAGGACTCGGGGAACAAAAAGCCTCCATTCGCCTGCCCTTTACAGAGATCTCATCTCCGGGTCCTGGAAAGTGGGTGGCCCGTGTTCCTCCACCCTGCTTAACGGAGACCTCACCCAGCTCGGCCCACCACCCTTTAGGGAGGAAGGGGGTGCCACCCAGGGCGCGGCAGCCCGGGAAGGAGGGAAAATAGCCTGGACCTCTTTCCCCGAGTGCCCGCGGACGCCAGCAGGCTCAGGCCGCACCCCGGAGGCACGAGGGCCCACCGCGCACCCCACCCGCCCGCTGGGCTCGGGGCGAGGGAGGGGCGCGCGCTCGGGTGCGAGCCGGACCCGGCCCCGCAGCGGCGGCGCTGGAGGGCGGCGGCGGCGGCGGCGGAGGCGGAGGAGGAGGAGGAGGGCGCTGAGGCCACACCCATCGGCGAGCGGATCCGGGGGCAGCGAGTCGTCGGCCGCTGCGCTCGAGCCTCCGCCCGCACCGAGCCGCGGGACCCGGGCCGCACCGGGGAGGGGCCGCTCCGGGCAGCAGCGCGAGGGCAGCGAGGGGCGGCGGGCAGCCGGCACCGGGCGGGGCCGGCGGCAGCGACCATGATCGCTTTGTTCAACAAGCTGCTGGACTGGTTCAAGGCCCTGTTCTGGAAGGAGGAGATGGAGCTCACACTGGTCGGGCTGCAGTACTCGGGCAAGACCACCTTCGTCAACGTGATCGCGGTACGGGGGCGCGGGGCGCCGGCCGAGGGTCGGGCCTGTCTCGGCCCGCGCCGCGCCCTGGGGAGCCGGGGTCGCCGCCTGGCATGGCCGGGCACAGCCGGGCGCCGGGCGGGGGAGGAGCGGGCCAGGGCGCTTGGGGCCTAGCACGGCCCGTGGGGGACCCGGGTGGCGCGCGACCCGCTCTCCCGCCCGGGCCGGGATGGCACGGTTGGGGGCGGGGAAGGGGGACGAGGACACGGACTGGGGCCCTGGGACTGGCGGCCCCAAGGGGTCACGAGGCAGGAGGGAACCAGCGCCTGCAGAGACAGGCCCCCTCCGGTCCCCGCGCAGGGGGGCATGACGGGGCGAAAGTGCCCGGGCCTTCCCGCCCCGCGTGCAGAGGGTCGTGGGACCCGGCAGCGGGAGCGGCTTGGGGAGGGGGCTTGGGCGAGCCCAGCCCCACCCCGGGGCTTTAACCCCTTTCTGCCGGAAGAGGAAGCCCCGCGCTATTGAGGGGGGAGGGGACGTACCCCCTGGGGGTACTGGAATCAGCTGAGGCCTTCGGCTCCAGCCCAGACTCCTCCTCTCCAGGAACCCGCGGCGACTTAGCTGGGGGTCCGGGGAGGGCGGCGTGGTAAAGGGAGTTTGGAGTCCCCGCTTGGCTCAGAAGTTGCAGCTGGAGGTATCTTGGCCCGGAGGATGAGTTGGAGGGGCGCTGCCCACTCTGGGGACAGGGGAGAGAGTGGCTCTGAGGGCTTTGGGTAGTCAAGTCCGAGGTGGGCAATTTTCTGTCTTTTGCCGCCAGGGAGTGGTGGGGAAGGAGTTAAAATCGATCTCAAAAGAAGGGAAGACGAGCTCCACGGGTGTGTGAGCTAAGGCTGCAGTAATGGCTGCGGCCTGAATGGAGGAGCCTGGCAGGACTGGGCGTGTGGGCTTGAGGGAGGCTTGGGGCAGGGGGCGCTGGGGTTATCGCCGTCCCCATACTAGGGTTTCTGAGAATTGCGGATTGGCCTCATACTGGCCCAAACCGCGCACCGTAAGAGAGGTGGTCAAAGAAGTATGGCCAGTCAGCCTAGGGACCTCCCTGCGCCTGTGTTGCTGCCCATCCTGAAGAAGAGAGCCCCTGACGTATCCCAGCATCCCGGAAGGAACGCTGCCTGAGGCAGGAGGGCAGAGGGAATGCTGCGGGTACCCCATGGCCACATGTTTGGGCACCGGCTTCCTTTTCCAAACATGCTTTGCAGATGCCCTCTGCCCCTTTCTCCACCGCATGGCTCCTGGCTCCTCGTCTGACAGGGCAGGACCTTCAGGCCCATGCAGGTGTTTTGGCATGAGATGTTTCCTGGCCAGCAGGTGCCCCTGAGCTCCCGTGTGCCCAGGCTCTGGGCCTGGAGTCTGGCTGCCTAGTTAAATCAGGCATTGACTCGGCCTCTTGGGCCCCTAGGGCCCCTTGGGCAGGAGCATAATGCCTGGACTCTGATCCTGCAGGCCTGGGTGGCTTGGCTTCTAGGCATTTCGATCTGGGAGGTGTCTCCAGGGTAAGGCCAAGAGGAAGAACAACTTGCTGCGGCTCTAATGGCTCAGCCTCGGTGTCACCTCCAGTCCCCAGGGGAACTCTCCCCGTGGAGCATTTATGAAAGCCATGCTCCTGGCCAGAGACCCACAGGTCCCCTGGGGGGTTCCACTTCCTGGTCAGGAGGGCCTCTCATAGACGTGCGTCATGTCCAAAACAGGAACAGAACGCAGGAGTCACAGATGACATTGCCAGGAGCAGAGTTGCTGGAAGGAACAGGAACGCGCCCCGCTCCTAAGCCATGCGTTCCCCTTTTCGATAGTCATTTTGCCACTTGGGCTTGCACATGCTAAAAGTGCAAGCAAAATTTCCCTTTAAAGAGGCTTCCAAGAAAAACCACCCCTTGTGGACTTCAGTGGGAGTTCTAGCATCAGGGGAATTGGTGTTCTGCGGTCCTCCTGGGCACCTGCACTGGCATTTCTGCCCACCTTGTGTATGCCCACGGTAGAGTGTCTTTCAGAAACAGATGAACAATCGGGACCCGTGGACTCTGTTCCTGTGCCTGCTAGTGACTCTCTGAATCACCTTTGCCTGCTCATTTGGCATCTGTTTGTCTCAACTTTTCCCCCATTTGGCTTTGTCTGCTGGCTCTATGAGGTCTGACGGTAAATAGAAATTGAGTTGATGTGTCTAACCACTCAGCCTAATGTGAACTGGAAAAAAAAATTATATAGAGACTTCACACTGCTTCTAAGAACCTAAAACATCTTTTGAGTTCTTCTGAAGAAGTCGCCATGTACAAAGAAGGAGATGTTTTGCCCGAGGGAATCAAGGGAGCCGTTTTCAAATATTTCAAGCCATTTAATTATGTAAAAGGCCATCCTGTGGAAGAACTAGTCTCAGGGTACCCAAGCCTTTGGAACAGGGGTGCGAGTCACAGGAAGATGGATTTTTGACTCAGTATGAAGAACTCTCAGAGAGGTGGAGCCCACCCAAGACCAGAGGTTAGACCACATGACTTTGGGGTTACTTCAAACGTTAAATGAAGAGCTCGTGAGATCAGGAGGCATTAGCAGGGAAATGAAGTCATAACCTGGTTCCACCTTAGCATTGGTTCACAGCTGCACTGGAAATATGGGTGCCAGAGAGCCTGGGTCCCTGGGGGTCCTCCTACCCAAGAACACATTCAGCCGGGCTAGGCTTTTCCTCTATATGGGAGCCTGTAGGGCTTCGAGTTTCCGGAGATGCCAGATCGGTCCTTATGCTATATCCATGCCATTTCCAAGCACTCTGTGAGCCTTATTTGCCAGTCTCTATGAAATGAGAACCTTTCTCCCCGTTTCACAGAAGGAAACCTTGAGGCTTTTTTTTTTAACAGAGGTTAAAGGGCCTTATCCAAGCTCCTCCATGACGAGTGATTAACAAAAACTGGGCTTTCTTCTTCAGACCCTTAGGTTCTTCATGAGCCCAGATGGAGAGGAATGGGCTTTGGTCCAGCAGGTGCCCCCATCCCCACCCTGGCACCCTGCTGGGGTTTGGCGCTTAGACTGCATGTGGTTAGGGTCTCCATCCTTAGCGAGAAGAGAAGCCATCCTCCATCAGGGCATTCCTTTCTCTCAGTGATTCCTAACTTCTAGGGCTCTCGGGCCCTTTTGATAGCTGATAAAAATACGAGACCCTTGGGAGGCCTGGGTGGCTCAGTCGGTTAAACGTCCGACTCTTGGTTTCGGCTCGGGTGATGATCTCATCTTGTGAGATGGAGCCCTTGCATCAGGCTCCACACTGGGCATGGAGCCAGCTTAAGAGTCTCTCCCTCCCTCTGCTCCCCTACCCCCTGTTCACTCACTCTCCCTCTCTAAAAAAATCCAAGACACAGAGAAGTATTCCATACACATTCTGCAGAGGAGTGTCCATACAAACAGAAATTTTGCATATGCAGATTAGGTGCAATTTTGGGGGGTTTGGGGACTCTCTGAAGTCAGTCTGTGGCCCACAGGTTAGGAACTCTTAGTCCACCTTGTAACAAGCATCCAAGCATCCATCGTGGGGGCTCACTTCTCACTCCCAAGGGCTTTGGTGAGTCCTGCAGATGAAAGGGAATCGGTCACTCTCATTCAGATGGGACCTCAGGAGTCTTCCCTCAGGCCTACAGGCTCTGAATAAGAAATCATCGTCTCCTACACCTTGGCTAATGGTCAGAGTCTCCGACTTCTGTATGTGACAGGCAAATTACTCCTGCTACCTAGCAGAAGAAAATGGCATGGTACAGAGACAAGGCTGTCACCCTCAGAAGATTCAAGGTTAAATAAAGTCCCATCTCCTGCATGTGGGGAAGGAGAGTGGTAAGCAGAAGTGTCCTACCTACAAACATGGAGATGACCTTCGAAGGAGTTTGGCCTCGCCTGACTTCAGGCCTGGGGCTAGTTTAGAGCAATCTAGACATCCTGGAGATAATTCAGAGGGGAAGACAGGAAGATCATTAGAATTTGAAAATGGGTTCCAGGATATGGAATTAGAGTCAACTCCTAATTATTCAGCAAACATTTGCTAGCGTTGTTGTTAACGGGGGGGCATGGCTCCCCTCCCCAGGAAACTCTCAGTCTAGTGGGAGACCCGTGAGTCAACAGGGAATGTGGGGTGGGGGTTATCCGTCCTCACAAACAGAGTATAGTGCAGATAAATCAGAAGCATGGATAATCCAGAAATTTCTTGGTGTACAGGTGCATTTTGGGGTGGCCTTATTACCTTCCCTCAAAATTTTACTGCTTGTTTGAAGATATGTCTGCTTCCTTGATATCCCCCCTGACTTTGCCGTGGCTTGTCTGAAGTCCTTTTGCTGGCAGTTAATTGTTCTTCTGCTCCACTGGAGACTCGGTTCAGTAAAGGGGCTTCCACTCCAATGGAGAGATTTGGTTAGACCTTAGGAAGAATTTTTTTTCAGTCTAGGCTGAGAGACTTTGAGGGGGCCTGGAGAAGACGTGGCCTCTTGTTCACAGGAGAGCCTTGTGGTGTGGGGTGGACACCTGAGTTGTTTATGGCCGTCCTGCCTGAAAGCAAGGGACACTCAGGAGATGCCCCCGTGCCCCTTGCAAAGGGATGCCTGCGACACTGCTTTATTCTTGCGGCCTTGTGGCTGTGGCTGCCAGGGATGGCACAGCCGGGTTCTGTCGATTTGTACCCCTTTCCCAATTCTGACTCTTCCTTCCCAGTCAGGACAGTTCAATGAGGATATGATCCCCACTGTGGGTTTCAACATGCGCAAAATCACCAAAGGGAATGTGACCATCAAGGTGAGTGTCAGGAAGCCAAAACTCTGGGCACAAGCTCTCAGGGCCAGAGAAGCGCACCTGCGTGCCTGCTGGGGCGGGGCACCCACAAGGAAGGAGTTAGGGAGGGTATCTGAGACCCTGGAAGAAGCTGGAGGAGAGCAGGGGCTTGGAGAGGTGGGAAAAGAGCAGAAGACTTCTAAGTCACTCTGAGGGGTGTAGGCACAGGAGGGATGGACAGCAGACCAATCCCTGGCAATCTGGGGGAGGGGGATTGGAGCCATTGGGTTTGGTTGCCTCCCTCCTGCTGAGACCATGTCGCTCTCTTCTCACTTAGCTCTGGGACATTGGGGGACAGCCCCGATTCCGCAGCATGTGGGAGCGCTACTGCCGAGGAGTGAGTGCCATCGTGTAAGTGTAGGGCTGGGCGGGAGTTGGGGGCTCCCCTGGCTTCCCCCCACCCCGCCCCCAACCTCACTACCTGTAGGGACCCCTCCCTGGCTTTTCCCCCAGCCTCACTGCCTGCAGGGGACCACAGGCACAGAACGGGGTTAGTCACCATCCTTGGTTCAGGATTCACTGTCCTGTCCATACGAAGCCTGCCTTTACTTCCCGGGCTGTGTGTTTCTTATCTGCAAAACCGCTCCGAGCTCGCTGTGCCTAACCTTAGAGCCTGACAGCATCAATCCGCCCCAAGTCCCTATGTCCCCCTGCCTTCCCCAGGCTAGAGTCACCATTCTTCCAGATTCTGTATGGTTTAAATGGTTTGTTCCCTTGCTTTTTAAAAATAATTTTATCCTACATATATATGCCCAACAAAAGATTGTTTTGTTTTCGTTGTTTTAACCTCATTTTTTAGAAGTATCTTGCTGCAAAAAAATCTGGGGCTGCCTTTGCTTTTTTCACTCAACCAGGGCTATTCTTCCCATACAGACCTAATGGGTCTGTAAGGGGGTCATTTCAGGAGGGATTTACACCTAATCTTAAAGGTCCAAGCTTCCCCCACTCCACCGCGCCCCCGCGTGACACCTTATCCAAAGGGGACTTTCGGATGACAGGATAATGGCCCATGATGAAGGAGAACCAGGTGGCCCATAGATCCAGAGGTGACCAAACCCCAGTAAGATGTTTCCTCCTGCAAGCACAGCTCCCCTTCCTACCTCTCAGCCTGTAATGTCAACATGCTTGTCCCCACCCACTGTCCCCCAGGTACATGGTGGACGCCGCTGACCAGGAGAAGATTGAGGCCTCCAAGAATGAGTTGCATAACCTACTGGACAAACCCCAGCTGCAGGGCATCCCGGTCAGCAGCCTAGTGGAGCAGCAGGGGAGGGAGCCCTCTGGGAAGTGGCCCAGGGGAAGGGCGGGAGGCAGGTGAAGGCCAGGCATGGGGGAGGGGAAATGGACAAGCTGGCACAGGGGCCCTTGACCTAGTCCCTGTTCTCCCTTCACTGTAGGTCTTAGTCCTGGGTAACAAGCGGGACCTCCCAGGAGCGTTGGATGAGAAGGAGCTGATTGAGAAAATGTGAGTTTGGTTACTCTTCTCTGTCCTTCCTCCTTGCTCCCTGAATTTTCCAGGCGCCAGAGAGACGGCTTGCTGCTGCTCTCAGTACCTGCCACACGGTGGCAGCAGAGCCCACCTCTCCAGGAGCCTCGCCCTCACCATTGTAGCTCCTTTGGCAAGAAAAGGTCTCTGTTGCCCCCAGCCCCAGGCCCCCTGGGCAGTCCTAGCCTCAGCAGGTTCTGCTCTGGTTTCCCCCCAGGAATCTTTCTGCCATCCAGGACCGAGAGATCTGCTGCTACTCCATCTCTTGCAAAGAAAAGGACAACATTGGTGCGCGTGGGTATGGGGGAGTTGCTGGCATTCTGGGAACAGACAGGGCGAGGGGAGGGGCAGAGAGGCCCTCCTGGGTGTTCTAGAACAGTGGCTCTCAAAGCCTTTCCCTGCACAACTTTCCTTGAAGACCAAAGCTCGAACCTTCTGGGATAGGACAGTGTCAAGGAAACTCGGTATCTGAGCATTACCCCTGCTCTGCCCTCGACTGGTTTTGTGATCTTAGGCAAATCACTCCCTTCTGTGGGCCTCACTTCCCCCACTATACATTACAGGGTTGGACCAGGCGATTCCCAGGCCTCTTCTGTCTGTGGCACCCCACGGCTCTTGGCTTTTGGTGCCCTTAGAGCTGATCCCCAGTTACAGTTTCGGAAGCCCTGGGCTGGGTATTTGCTCACTGTGTCCCCAGTCGGCCCAGCACGGGAAGGCCTCTAAACTTCTCTGTTGTCCCCCACCCAGACATCACCTTACAGTGGCTTATTCAACACTCAAAGTCACGGAGAAGCTGAGACTGCAGTCCTTCCCCCTCGGACCAGGGACCTGCTGTCATCCAAACCCGAAGTCGCACTCCCCTCCCACCCCACCGTCCCCCGTAAGCCCGCCGCTCCTCACTCAGCGTGGGGAGGGGTCCTCTGGGGATCCCAGAGTCCTGTTCTGCTGAGGTTTGAACTCCTGATTTTATTGTAAAATAAACTGCTCCCATTCTGGGCCCCCTAACCTCTGGCCCTCCCCTCTTCTCTCTGCCCTTTGCCCCCCCCCCACCGCTTCCGTTCCCTTAACAGCCCAGGCCCCACAGCCCCTGCCCTCCTCTCTCCCGTGTCCCGCCCCTACGCTGCCCTTTTCAACACTCTTCTGTTATTGTCCTGTGTGTACAGTATATATATGTATATATATTTTAATTTTTTAATTTAAGCAAAGACTAAAATCAACCATTTGATGCTGCAGGGGCCCGTCAGGCTCTGGGAGGGGGGCGGTGTGGGAAGAAGGCAAAAGAGGCAGGGCTGGCTCCGGGCAGGTCGAGATTGGGAAGGCGAGAGCTAGCATCTGGGGCAGGTGCCAGCCTGGGCACTGGTGACCGTCCCCATGTCCCGTTTGTTTCCACTTCCCAGTCTGGTTTATCCCTGCCGTGCTTGAATGTCACAGGCCGACAGGAGCCTCCAGAGGCGCCCCTCTCTGCCCCCAGTCTCAGTAGGGCCACTGGGCATACCCAAGTGCCGGAGAGATCACCGGCCAACCGGAAGCCAGCGTCCACATGACCCCGGGAGCACGTCCCCGCCCGCTCCCAGCTCCAGCTCCTGCCCCTCCCTAGGGCCCGCAACTCCATGGGCCACCTCATTTTATGTTCTCGTTTTGCAGAGTTGCACAAGGAGAGAACTCAGCATGGGGGGTTGGTTCTTTGGGTTTTGTTTTCTGTTTGTTTATTTGTTTAATTTAATGATTTGTAAAGTGATGTTCCTCTTCCTTTTTTACACTTTTAGCTCATATTTAACCTCTGTTTGGAAAATGATTCTTGTAATTGTACATTTTTTTGCCTCCTAACAAGAAGAATAAAATGACCAGTTTTGTGTTGGGGAGGTGTCCGGGGCTGGTTATTTGTCCGCAGACGCTGCGGGATGACTGTCGGGCCCGCATGCTGGGGCACAAACACCACAGAGAGCGAGGCACGTGCTCACACTGGGCACACAATGGTACTTCACAAAGCAGCCTCCTGCACGTGTGCCGGGGCCTCGCCCGGCCGCCTCCTCCCTCCCTCGTCAGACTCGCACGCGGTCCCAGCTCTCTGCTTGCAGCTGCCAAGGGGAGCCTGGCGAGTCCGTGGGCTGGGGTCAGCGTGGCGGGGGTGTGGAGCTGCGTCCCCGTGTGTGCGGGCCTGAGCCTCTGGTTCCCGAGAGCCCATTCAGAACCCCACCTGCAGCCAGAGCTGGGCCGAAGCCAGAACTCTGTCCCCCCGCCCCCCCCCCCCACGATGAGCCAGTCAGTCACTCGATTTCCAGGCCAGTGCCGGGCCTTCAGACCCCAGTAGCGTCCCTACTTCCCTGCTCCCCTGCTGCTGTCGGTGCTCCTGGTTTTCTGGGAAAGGCTGTCCCCTTATCGTTCTGCCCAGTCCCAGTCCTCTCCCCACTTGACCCCAACCTCCAGAGCTGGTCACCCTTCCCTCCTCGCCCACAGCTGCTGCCTGAGAGCCTTGTGGGCCCTGTTTACCCAAATCCGGGGCCATCTTGACCCAGTTTTGCAGCAAGCCCCGCCTCCCCCCTGCTCCGCCCCTCGTCAGCCTCCCTTCCCCCTGGAAAATGGAGCAGGCCCCTACAGCACCCCCATGCCCTCTTGTCCTGCCTCTGTAGGAAGAAGGAGCCACAGGGTTCACCAAGATCTGGGAGCAGGGATCCCAGGGCTCAGGGTCTCCAGCCTGACTTGTTTACTCTGAACTTCACCAGCCCTTTCTTGGGGCCCAGGGCTTCCTCCTAGAGGCACTTTACTAGTCAGAAATGACTCGCCTGGAGAGGTAGCTCCCACCGGAGTCTGAGGAAAGTAGGCAGGTAGAATTTGGCAAAGGGAGCAAAAGGATTTGAAGGTGTCTTCCAGGTCTGGGGAATAGGAAACGTGCCCCCTGCTTATGGAGGTCGAAGCTGGGGCCAGGGTCTGCCTGTGGGTTCCTGGCTGCAGAGGCTGCCCCTGGCCTGGGAGGCTGGAAGGGGCCTGTCACTCATACGGGTTTCAGGGGGTGGGCAGGATGGGGCAGGTGTCAGGGTTGAACTGCCTCCCCCCCCCCCCCGTCCTGAATCCCCTGATGAAGGGTGAGATTGGAGATTAGAGAGGATGAGCTGGTGACCAGCAAGCAGCCTCCTGCCATTGGGCCTGCAAGCAGCAGATGCCTAATAGGACCTAAAGAACTTGGGAAACTTGGACAGGGAGAGGACTGTGCGTACATATGTAAATCCTCGTGCTTGAGGCCCTTCAAGGTGCCAAAAGCCCGGATGAGTTCTGGGAGCACCCTGGCCAAGCCTACTCTGTAGTACTAGAGAATTCAGTTCCCAAAAGGAAGAAAGAAAAGGTGCTAGGCGTCTTGCCAGATGCTTTATATATCTTGTCCCATTTAATGACTGTAGTCCTCTGGGAGAGAGGGGTTGTTCCCGTTTTACAGATGAGGAAACTGAGAGGCTCATAACCGCGTCCAGTCTGGTCGGAGGGAGGCGACTCTCCCCGCTAAGTGCACGTGCTCTCTGCTCCGCACTCCCAGCTGAGGGGAGAGGCTAGGTGGGTTGCATCAGGGTCTGGGAGCTGGCCTAAAGCCTGCCCTAAGGGGGCAGGAGAATGTCCGCCCTGCCTCTGAGCATCCCAGCTCATATCCACCGCCCACTGCTATGCCAACCTGCCCCCCCCCATTCCAAGCCTGGGACCCCTAAGCAACAAATGCCACATTGTTCCCCCAGCTGGCGCAGGCTGGAGGGACAGTGGCTCTTTCCCAAGGCCCTGCTGGGCTGCTGACTGATCTTGCAAGCCATTCACGTCGGCAGGCATGGGAGGCGCGGTGGTGGCAGGGCCTCGGAGACACCATCCCCCCCCTTCAGCTCTGAGCTGGCCAACCAGCAGGAGGGAGAGGCAGGGGTGTGGGGGGTGCCCTCTGTGGAAAAGGCCTCCACAAACAGGATGCTGAGGCGCTCCCCCTCCCCTTCCCTCAGGCTTCCATCCTCAGGCCTCTCCCAGTGCCAGACTTCACCTCAGTTCACCCTGCCCCCCTCGTCCCATAGGAAGCTCCTCGAGTGTCTAGGAGTGGGGGTGGGAGTGGGGCAGAGAGGGAGGTGGGGGTGTGGGGCAGAGAGGGAGGTGGGGGTGTGGGGGAGATGGCCCCGGTAACCTCAGTGGCGTAAGCCTGGCCCCCTCTCCAGCCTGCCCCCCACCCACCCATCTCAAGTTTCTCCCGACAAAGCTGAGGGCTTCAGTCACTGTGGCAACAGGTCTGCTGAGAAACGGGTGGGTGTCATTCCCCAGCACAAAGAGTGTGCGCATGGCAGCCTCATCACTTAGCAACGGCCTCCCTCTCTCTTGGCGTCACCCGTCCTGGGGGTGGGTGCCAGGAAGAGAGAACAAGGCCATTAAGATCCCCAAGAGAGGGGGGGAAGGAGGCTTGGGTCTGGGCTGGGCTGAGGCCAAGGGGTGTGGGTGGGGTGGACAGAGAAGAATGGGGCCCAGTGCCCTCAGCAACCCCTGTCCCTCATCATGCCGGGTCCCTGGGACCCTTCCGAGGCCCCCTGCAGAGGTTCTAGGTAGATCTGGCAGGCAGAAGTTGCCAGTGGGACCCAGAGCGGTGCTTTGCACTGGGAAGGGTGGTTCTGAAGGAAGCTGGGCTCAGAAGGCAGAAGGCAGGGAGTGATTAGGCAGAGATGCCCCTTCTGGTTGACCTTGGGCCTGCTTCTCTGGGCCCAGACAGGGTTAAGGGGGCGTTTGGAAGGTCCCCAGAGGGGGAACCCGGCGGAAGTGGGACACCCGGGGCCGGACCGGCAGGAGGACCTGGAGGGCCTCTGGGGGCACAGGATGGAGCTCTGGCTGCCAGGAAGGGGATTCGATGGGGGCAGGGTGGGGGCAGACGGGGAACAAGCAGCTGGGCCGTCTACAGGCGAAACAGTCTGTTCTAAGAAACTGAATGAGAGCAGCTCTCAGAGTCAGAGGCTGGACCCCCTGGGCTCAGGGAAGGAGGGCTGCGGGGTTCTCTAAAATGGGGACTTGGTGAAGAGCCAGGAGCAGAGGGCAGGGCTTCAGAAGAGACAAGTTTACAGCCTCTTGGCTTCCCAAGGATGCTCGGGTTTGTGTCAGGATGAAGACTTGGTCTCCACTTCCCAAGCCCTCCCTCCACTCTGCCCCTCAAAAGCCATAAAGCTGTAGGGCCAGGGAGGATATCAGCCACAGGCCAGACAGGGTCAAAGGGGCCAGGAGGAATCCCCCTAGGGTCCCACCTGTCCTGGAGAAGGGCCAGGTGCCTCTGGGCACTGTCAGGGTGTGGCACAAGAAACTCCAGTGGGCACAGGGATAGTTCTACCTAGTTTATTGTTTGTGAAGGAGGGCCTGCTATGGGGGGGGGGACCTACCAAGGGAGGTGGGGGCAGCACAACCCAGGATAGGTCAAAGGAGGAAGAGGAAGGAGAGAGAAATCCTCTGGAAGGCCGGGGGGGGGGGGTAGTTGACAGGAGGGAGAGGAGGTATCCAAGGCTAGGGAGATCTGGTCCAGAGAAGACCCAGGTAGGCCTGGCCCCCAAAGGCCCCGTATTCTAGGATGGATGAGTGTCAGGGCGACAATACTTAGAGAGGGCCTAACTAAAGTCTAGCAGATTCCATGACAGAGACAGGTGAAGTTCTGGCTCCCACCTGGTGGGGGACTAAGAGTTTCTAGACATTTCTAAGGACCCAGAAGCATCACCACCCACCCGCTGCGAGCACAGGGTTTGGAAGCCCCCAGAGAGTGACAGGGAAGATCCTGCTGGGGGAGGGGGCTTTGCCATGCCTGAAACCGAACCCCAGCAAGAGGAACCAAGTCCACCTCTAGACAGCAAGACGGCCGAGAAGCAAGACCTCTAGGGACAGAAACACCAGACCCAGGCTGTGGGGTGGGGGGCACCCTCCCTGCCCCTCCGTGCCCCTGCTCCCATCCTCCCCCCAGCTGGAGCCTGGCCTCAGCAAGGTGTGCCCAGGGGCAGGAGCGGGGGCGACTCCCTGGGCTTGTGGAAGTAGATGGAGGAGGGCATCTCGGACTTGAGCTTGCTGTCCGA